GGGGGTTCACTTAACTAGGGCTTATTTTTGGGAGAGGGCTTATATTATGAGCATACTGAAAAATCCTACTAGGGCCTATTTTCAGGTTAGGTCTTATTTTCAGGGAAACAGGGTACTGAAATTTTTGACTAGGATACTTCACATTTTATTATCAAATGGATCATACATACTACATTATTTAATGCTCAGATAGCAAGACACTTTCAGTAGCAAACATGTCTCCACTTTCTTTTAAGTAATATGTGACTACTTAAGCTTCAAAAAAGTCGTGAATTGAACAACTGATTCAAGCAGAGACGGGAAATTTCCAGAGGCCTGCACTTTCTTTATTTAAAGGTCTGTTGTCCTCTGTTTGAGGCAGGACAAACAATTCTGTCATACTTCTGTCTACCCCTAGACTTGTTTTAGGCATAGGAAAATGCTTTTTCCAAAACCACCAGTACCCTGCCAGTCTTTAACAGTCCCAAGCCCTCCAATGTACAGTAAAATTGCCCCTCAAGAGTAGGTAAAGAAGATACATGAAGAGATGTTGCAAGAAACATCTGGAAGGGATTCAGGAACAGAGTTATATATATGTTTTAATAGAAAAAGAATGTGGCATAAGAACAGAAATTTGTAGCATGCTGAGACATTCACTTTCAGTTCATGTGTACAGTAGGACCTCCCTATCTGCAGGATCAATATCCACTGATTCGTTTATCTGCTGCCTGGAAATACTAAATAAAATCCTAGAAATTCGTATTTATATGTATTTCCAGGGCGTATTTACCAGAACTGGCCACCAGAGGGAGTCGGACCATGCAATGTATAGTGTTTGATACTTCTGCATTTTCCAGCATTCACAGGGTGGGGGGGCCTTGGAATCAATTCCCTGCGGATAATGTGGTCTTACTGTACACAATCCATATTCTGGCCTAGTTTGTAGTTGTATCCTCACCTAATGACCTGGTTTTATTTGAATTGCTAAGATGTGGTATGTTCAAAGTAGCAAGACCTGGTTTTATTTGAATTGCTAAGATGTTGTGGTATGTTCAAAGTAGCAGTGCAAGAAATGAAAGGATCTCCAGATGTTCAGTAACATGTAGTTTATTGCAGAGATTAAAGATCCTACTGAAGTCTTAAAAAATACCAAACGTCTGCAGAAAAAGAAAGAAAGAAAGAAAGAAAGAAAGAAAGAAAGAAAGAAAAAGGAAGTTATCTAACCTTCATTCGATTCTGCTTAATTCCTTCTACAATCTGCTCCATCTGCCGCAGAAACTGGTCTCGAGCACCTGAAGAAGCCATGGCTCTGAAAGGAGAATGGATGTGAAGCTGAAGTTTTATGCAAAGGAAGGAGTGTTCTGCAATGGATGACTTTCAAGATAAACTGTAACTTTCTTCCACATGATAGATGGGGTGGAGTGGGGAAACAGGGGCCTCAAAGGAGCAGGCCGAGATTAAAAGCTGAAGTAGAGGAAAGAAGAATGTTTGTCTAGGTCCCTTTCCTACTGCAATGTGCAGTTTAAATGCAGACACTAAAAAACAACAACAACCCTACAGTCAATCCGTATATGCAGCAATCAACTGAATTCCTATATTATGTCCAACCCATTTCTTCTTAGGAATTCTCATTTAATAATAGGCAAATATCTTCAAGTGAAATATAACTTCTTAAAATATGGTGTTTGGAACTAATTAGCACAATCCTGCACATAGTCCCCCAAAACCAAGTCCCCCCACCTTTGATGGGCTTTCCACTAGGTGAACTGGCACAGACTTGGTTTTCACAGGGAATAGCTTTCAGTGCCTTGGAAATGTCAGACCCAAAGGTTAATGCACTCTCTGGAGCAGTTACTTTGCCGTGCAAAAAGAGCTACTGCTATAAAAAGAAAAACTGCATCAACTTTATACCCCCCAGTGAAGTTCTCTTGATTTCATGTAAAGGCTATGAGTGCTAATTAGATTTAGGATCAAACCATGCCCTTGCATGGAAAACACACTGGGTGGGTTTTTATACACCCCTTGAAAAAATGGTGAACAGTATGATGAATGTCGCAAAGCTATAGGGAAAAGAACTGGGGAGGGGGAGGGATTACATGAACCATTTAATTAAACAGGGTAATATAAAACATCCTTCATGGTATGAAATCCAATCAAGATTGATTCACTATAAAGGCACAAACTGGCCAAGCTGTAACTATAAGGCTACTAGCCCAAAAGAAAGGAAAGATGACTTACTGCTGGAAGTTGTCATGAACTGAATTCAACAAATTAACCTAGAAAAAAACAGGAGGATTTATTTTTATGGCAAGTTCATTATGGAAAAAAGTCAAGTACATCAAGCATTAGGAAAGGCTTAAAATAATGGATGACACGTGACTGTATGTTATAGCACTAAGTAACTCATGACTTGATGGCTGGCAGCTGGGGATGTGAACCACCTCCTTCCGAAATTCTGTGTTTAAGCTGTACTGGGTTACAGAAAGTTCTTTCAGTGGTAGCTGCTAGCTTATTCACAAATGCTTGATGTGATCGAGTGGTGCACATTTATGTGTGAATCAGTACTGTGCTGCCCTAAGAATGATGTACAAGATACAGCAATGCTTGCGCAGAGTGCTATGCACAGAAAGAGCTCTGGCAAGGAATTTATATCAGCACAAAGACATTCATAGCGATCGAAAATGGCTTCCCCTATGGAAGATCTTCGCTTTACAATGAGTTATTTCGCCCACTGGAATGCATTAACTAGTTTTTAATGCATTCCAATGTTTTTTACTTTCGCTTGATGACAATATTGCTCAACAGCTATTTTAACAGAACGGATTATCGTTGTCAAGCGGGGCACCACTGTACTTGGTGTTTCTGGTGGGGAAGTGACAATGTTAGTGAATCCAATCAGCTGGCCTAGAAAAACCTGCAGGACACTGTATCTGCTGAACTACCATCAACATCTCTTCCACTTTCACTATATTCAGTCACACCTTGAAATACATTCTGCAGATATGTATAGAATTGTATTGTAAGGCAATTAAATTCCTAACAGGTAGGAAGGATGTATTATGAATGCATTATGTAATTTTTAATAGGATGGAAGTCAGATCACATCACCACAAGAAAGCCTAAATGTATGACAGCTGGATGAGTAATCATTCCCTTCCACCAATATTTTTGGACTCTCATTCCCATGATTCCTCACTATTGGCTATGCTAGGTAGGACTGATGGGCACTGTAATCTAAGAAAAACAGGAAGCTAATTTCTGGTTAGGAAATGGCAGCAAGTGGCATCAGAGGTTAGTTTTGTACCCTTAAATGATGCCAACCATAGTTGTCACTGTACACCTCCATGTTTCTGGCTGTGGGTGAAAGCCACATCCATTCGGAATGATCCAGACCAGAAAAACCTTCTTTCTTACAGATTAAATCTTGTACAGACTGATTTTGTTATACCACAAAGCATGCCCATGCATTTTCAGGAACCCTGGTATAATGCGGGTAACACTGAAAACATCTAAGAGCCTGAACATCTTCATTATCAAGTCTGCCTCTACGCCAAAGCAGCAACTTGACTACCTTAAATTTCAATAGAAGTTTAAATCCCCATCCTGTGTCCTGTTGTGCATGGCCTAGGGTTTATTTGCTTGCTCACCAAAGGGATTCAAACCACAGAAAATCTTCATGACTATTGGTTTGTTTTTGGGGGATGGGGTGGGGGAACAGAGTGGAAAGGAAGAATACTGATATGAAGAGATATACTTCAATGTTAAACCTTACAGTCACACACTTTAGTTAAAGCAAGGCTCTGGAGAAGTGCCCACCAAAACAGTCAAAACTGGGATAGCTGGGTCAGTTATCCAGAATTATAAATGCATTTGAGATGCAGGAGCTCATGGCCCTCCGGAGGCTGTTGGACTGGATCCCCTTCCTATTGGTTGTGCCAGCTAAGACTAATAGAAGTTGCTATCCAATAGGAACTGGAGGCTCATCTATTACTACCTCTGATGTAGAAGAACGGATTAACACGCAAAGTCTACACGACTGATTCAGAAAGAGACGGCAAAAGAGCACAATGAAATGGAAGAGGAAAGATTAGGAAAGCAGATCCAGGAAAAAGAAATCACTTTAATCTGCTGGATTGCAGCTGAGTCTCAGCACATTTGGAGAACCACAAGCTGCCCTTGTTACCAATATTTTGTTCTTGTATTTCTCTGTGCTCAGGGGCGCATCTATATCCTGTCTACCTTTACTCCTGTGTGATGCTGCCCCCTCACAAACATAATTTGTCTTGACATAAATAGATTTATTGGGGGTGGGGACATTGTCTTATCTTCTCACTGGAAGGCGTGTTACATAGCTGCATATAGCATGCTGTTCTCCTTTTTAGAAAAAGAACATCCTGTTTGTTAAATAAAACAAAACAAGAGCAGCCAGTTGTGTTCTGTGGTATGAAAATGGAATTCACAATTCCTGATTTCTGGTGTGACATCCTCACAGCAGATATTAAAAATTTATTATTCAGTTCTCTAAAAATATTTTTAAATGATATTCTCCGTGTTGCCATCTCTTCTTCTCGAGAAAAAGAAACTGTAATCGATATTTTAAATGTACTGCAATTATAGAAATAATGGGTCCCTCTCATTACCGAGATCTCACCTTGCTGTTTAAGTGCAGCAAGTGAATATAATTACATTTTGCTATTTATAATTTTTGCAAAAGTTCATGTATACAAAGAGTAAGAAAGCACATCCAATCTACACTAAGCAATTTATAAAAATTCATTATTATAAATGGCTTCCTTTGGTGATTTCAAGGTGCATGAGATTTCATTGCATTACACAGGAGTTACATACATATCCAAGTCGCCAAAGGATGTTTTTAATCAGTAGCAACCTGCTCCCATTCCTTGTGCTTTCACAGGGCTGCACAAAAGGATCTCAGCCACTTTGATCTAGCCTCAAATTTTGGAAGACAGCTTACCTCTTTTTCCAGATATACCTTCTTATCATCCAATGTGTTATAAAGAGTAAAGAACTGTTTAGTTTCCTTGTGAGTTGCTGATACTGCAAAGAAATAAATCTTTTAGTAGAACATCACACATATGCATATATGGGTAGAAGACAAGAAACCGTTACGATACTTGACTCAGACACCATTAAGATGAGCAACTCTCTGTTGATCTAAAATATGCCAAGGATCTGACCAAGTATTTCAATACGAAGTACAATTCTGTCTACGTTCACTGATTTCAGCACAATTTAAATCTTCACAAACATATGTTCAGGATTAAAGGCTGAGAATCTTTCCCTTTAGATATTTTTCATTCACCAGATCTGCTTCTCACTGCCAATTGCTACTAAATAGCAGAAAGTCCCCCTTGATTTTTTTTACAATATCCAAATCTATTCCTCCTATCAAGAAGAACATATACTTCTCATTTTGTCTTATTTCTGCTTTTATATCCAACCTCTTCTATAGACAATTTATAAGAAATAGTCAATTTATAAATAAAATCTTGATAAAAATCTTAGATAAAAATATCTAAGATTAAAATCGTAAGCAGTCCACGAACTGAAAATACTAGACAAGGGAAGCTCTCGGACTCCAACTCCCATCATTCATCTTCAATGGATACAGTCTTGTAGGATTGCAGTCTAGGAGTACAGTCGTGCCCTGCTTTATGATTACCCCATTTAACGACAAATCCGCTTGACAGTGAGGTTTTTGCGATCACTTTTGCGATCGCAAAACGATGGTCTGAATGGGATTTTTCCGCTTTGCGATGATCGGTTCCCTGCTTCGGGAACCGATTTTCACTTTACGATGATCAAAAACAGCTGATCGTTGGGTTTCAAAATGGACACCGGCTGAAGAAAATGGCCCCACCCTGTGCTTAGGGACAGATTCCTCACTGCACAGGCACAAAAAATGGCCGCCCCATGGAGGATCTTCGCTGGACAGTGAGTTTTCAGCCCATTGGAACGCAATGAATGAGATTCAATGCATTTCAATTGCCTTTTTTGTTTCGCTTTACGACGTTTTTGCGCTACAGTGATTTTGCTGGAATGAATTAACGCCGTCAAGCGAGTCACCACTGTACTGTGAAGACAAGGGATTATCCATCCAATTGATATTTCCATTAGAACACCCATTACAGTTTGGGGCCATCTAAAGGTAAGAACCCTACAACTACAATTCCATTTTTTACAACACAGCTGTGATGGGAACTGTGAAGTCTGAATCAGGACTTAAACTTTTCCTCTTGACCTAACCCCAAAGCTTCAACTGGTGGTGAAGAGAAAAAAAATAGTAAGGTTAGACTTACAAAGGGGTACAAGGTCTTTCATAAAGATGCAGCCATTTTTCAATCCCCTGCCCATATTACTAGAAAAACACTCCTTAAGCAAAAGGGACCTTCTGAGCTGCTGATCTGTATGTGAGAGAAAGCTAGCAAATATCCTTCAACTCTGGGGAAGCACTGTATGAGATGGTTTGGACCACAGCCAATGCACAGCAAATTCAATTTTTGTCAAGGTTCTCCTAAGTTTTCAGCACACTGTAAAAATGTAGAGGGGTGAAGCATACACTCCCAAGTACTCAGCCAACCTACAAAAGCCAGCTATATATCTTAACATAAAATCAACATGCTGTGAATAGTAGTTCACATAAATTTATGGGAAGTGACAGGATTTCAGCTTGTAAAGCAGAAAGGGTTATTCTAAATGATTTGCAATGCTCGTTTAGCATAGACCAGGCAGGCAAAAGGTAGAATTCTCTTAAATCATCTGTTCACTACATTAAGCACAGCTGGGACACTGATACGATAGCTGCAGCCTAAAGAGAGGTAATGCATTTTCTGACACAGAACACTCTTTATAGCCATTAATGGCACTGAACAACCTGAAGAGGCAGAGAGATAAAACTCATACATTATTTTGCTTTGGCTGCTGATAAAGTATCAGCATGTATGCACACACAGGGTTTATTCCCCCCCCCTTTTTTGGAAAAAACAATAAAAAGGGACAAACTGCTATTGTATCCTAGGAAAATTTCTGATTGGGACAACAGCAAGCAGCAGTGATGGCAGCAACTTCTTCAGAACAAAGCAACACAGCTGCTAAGATTTTGCCTGGCCAAATGTACAATTCATCAGTGTCCAAGAGGACATGAAAATAAACAAGTGGCAACCAAGGCATTCTAAGGAACATAGTCTCTGAGGTGAGCTTGGCCAGGTTTTCAGATCTTTTTTTGGGGGGGGGGGAGGCCCTTCTCTCCCATTCAAGGCACACTGTATATGGATCCCTCTAACTCCAATGTAAACATAGGACACTATATTCTTTTTCTCTTCCTTTTAGAAACCATGATCCCCAAGAAGCTGCTCTATGAACAAAATATTTCACCAGACGTTGGAAAACAACATGTCATCCATACAATAGGTCTTGGTGAACAAGAGCAGCCTTCCACTCCGAAGGATATTCCCATTCACCGCTGGAGGAGTTTCCACCAAAGTGATCCGCAGTACCCACAAATGTGAGCATGGTACATTTCCCTGCAAGCACACAGATACTGAGGCTTGCAGGGCTTCTTCTCTCACCTCCCACATATTTCAATATTCCCACTTGTGCACATACATGTTCTTCCCTTCTTCTTTGTGAAAGGGGAGGAATCGAGCTTGGACACTTTATTCTTGTGCTGAGATCATCTTGAAGTTACAAAGCATCTATAGAGATCTCTTTCTAGCGACAATATGAACTGGCTTACTTTAAGAAGCAGGCCATAAAATACAGAGCCTAGTTTCTTGTTTGATTCCATTCTGTGTGCAGCTGGTTTACCATCAGATGCTCTTAGACTACAACTCCCAGAGGTCTAGCAGCTTTAACCCAAGAACATTTGGGGACCCCAGGTCAGGAACTACTGGTGTACAGTATTCTGCCTGGAATACTGATCTCAATGACGCAACCAACTATATAAATTGTCAAAATCATTCCAAAAAAATCACAGGTACTACCTCTTTTGCCTCAAGGATATGTTTATAGGCACTCTATAAAAATCTCACAAGTGGGGTTGTATGATGTGAACGTCAAAGAGCCATCAATACAACAGCATTAGCAAAGTGCAGCCAAGCGTCATGCTGCATAGCTTTATAGCACTTAGTTGTGACGAATTCACTCCCATTTGATATACATACCCTGACCGTAAAGTTCAATAAATCTCTTCTGGTACTGTGTTAACTCAGCTCTGCTAGGAACCTCATCAATCTTGCGTTGTAAAATGGCTATTTCTCTGTTTCGTCGGGCCTGAGGAGAGTTTAAAAACATAACACATAAACAGTTATCTTCTCTTTTTTTACAGAAACTTGGCCTGACATTCAAAAACAATCCAATAATAGAATCAGAAAGTAAAGGAATTGGAGGAGGCCTACAAGGCCATCAAGTCCAACTCCCTGCTCAATGTAGGAATCCAAATCAAAGGATATCTGACTAACTGGTTGCCTAATTTTCTCTTGAATGCCTCCAACGTTAGAGTACTCACGACCTGATGTTACACTTAGTAACCGAGAAATCATATTTACATTTTGAAACATGTTACACAAAATACACGTTAAATTATAGAAAATCATATTCAGAATGTTCTTCAGAATTTACACTGTACAAAAGAGAAAAGCATTTAGAAAGTATTTCTGTGAAACCAACTTACCAGAAGCAGTCTGATCTTTTGCAGTCTTTCCCTCTCAGTTTTATACTGTTGATCTATGATTTTTGCAGGTTCCTAACATTTGAGACATTTTTAAAAAATCAATTTCTTATTTATGCTTATGGACCAAATGCGTATACACACACACACACACACAATTTGTTGAGACGCTGCCTGCTATGCAGTTATTAATTGATATTGAGCCATTGTTAGGAAAGTTTTCTTAAAGTATAGTAGCTTTGGTCAGTTTTCCTTAAAAGAAATATCCTTTTTGTCCATAGTTGGGATTATCAGAAAGAAACTACAGGCTTCCACACTCGCATGGAGACTCCTTTTTCAGTTTGGTGCTAGCCATAGTTTACTGTGGCATTTGAATCAGCAAGCTCTGATGAGTGCTCACCCTCCAAGCCAGAATTAGGAATCAAAGTAGGGTGACTCCCATCCTGGGTTAGAGGATAACTGTTAGCCAGAGATTGTCAGTCAAGACATCATGACAAGCTGGAGTCCTTGCTAAAATTAATCTGAAGGGAAACTGTATGAGCAGGAATTATGGGAGTGCAGGATTTGAAAGAACATCTGAATTTACCGGTCTCCATTAAAGAAGATGTCAGATTTATGCTTCGTCCTGTGCCATTAACTTTTGAAGACAACTCCTTGTTCAACAATTTAATGACGTTAAGTGTAGAGGCCCCTTATCCATATCCATATGTCACTGGATTACAGCTTCCAGGCTCCCTGAATACTGGCCATGCTGGGAAATGGAGTCTTAAGAGCATCTTGGGACACACATTTCAGAACACCATCCTGGTGCCGCATCAGTTGCAAAACATGCATCATGGCCAGAATCTTGTTGGGCAACAGTGCAGTGCAAGAGCAATCATGTGAGCATTTCGCCCCCTCAGATGAGCTCTCCTTCAACCACTATTCTGACACTTGTGTTTGTCCGCTTTGTTTACCTTCTTAAAATAAACAGCAGAGAGAGAGAGGAAGGGGCTGCATTCTGCGGGCACACGGCACTGCATTGGGTGTTGTGCACAACCAACCCGGTGTTTTCACCCATTTGCTTTCCATCGCAGCCAGAATCCCACACACAGGGTGAGGAGCCTCCATGCAGAGCTCCAGAAAATCAGAGGGAACATTGCTTATGACACTTGCTGCACTGCTCATCTGATATATTTTCTTGGGGTGGGGGTGAGAAATGCAAGAGTGTGTCATAAATCTAGAATAATTCTTGTCAGAATGCCTTTAAAACATCCTCAAAAGCAACCTCTGAAAACAAGTAGAGAACATTGCATGAAGGTAATTTTGTTCCTACTTATCGTAAAGTTAGTTTTGAAATTTAACTCAAGACAGTACATTCAGATGAACACACTACCAAAGTAAATATGTAAATCCACTGGAACTGATATAGAGGCCAGTATCATGTTGTTTAACTCTGCTTGAACAACATAAATAATATCACCATTAGTGGAAGACTCGACAGGACTTAATATGTGGCACTTTGTGGGAAAAGAGTGTCCATTCAAAAATGGGCTCAGAGAGTTGCATCATCTGTGTTTGGCATCTGCTAGATAGCAGACTGTAGGGACGTGGTGGCGCTGTGGGTTAAACCGCAGAAGCCTCTGTGCTGCAAGGGCGGAAGACCTGCAGTCATAAGATCGCATCCACATGATAGAGTGAGCCCCCGTCGCTTGTCCCAGCTCCCACCAACCTAACGGTTCAAAAGCATGCAAAATTCAAGTACTGTAGATTAATAGATACCATCACGGTGGGAAGGTAACAGCGTTCCGTATCTAGTCGCGCTGGCCATGTGACCACGGAAACTTGTCTTCGAACAAACACTAACTCTATAGGTTGGAAACGGGGATGAGCACCACCCCCTATAGTCAGACACAACTGGACAAATTGTCAAGGGAAACCTTTACATTTACCTTAGATAGCAGATTGGCAAAACCAACAGGCCATCAACATTCTAATGCAAATTCTATTCAAGTGAAATAAGAGGAGCAGTTTTACAATTCTTACAAATAAGAGTAAAAGAAAAAATATTTCACTGTTGTATTTGCTATGTACCTTCTCCTCTTCATTTTCAGAGGCTTCTGCTTTCAAACCTTCAATGTTTTGCTGGAGGCGTGCCATCTCTTCCTTGAAGAGCAAGGAAAATAACATTTCTTTTCATTAAGCAAGCAAGATGTTCTTTATGGAACACAAGCCAGAAATGGCTTTCTTTTCATAAATTATGCATTAGACAAAGCCTAAGATACAATATAGGCTGGCAACAAAATAAACAGCTATCTATCCATCCTTAGGGCGCCAGAGGAGGCACAACTTCTCCATTATGTAAAACAGCATGCTCCCCTATCAGTAGCTATATATCTGGGCAGTCTATCTGGCAAGAATGGTAAAAAGAAAACATCAGGCTTTAAAAATGCAAATGCACTTAACAGATTTACAAACCTGCAGCCACCCCTGGCAGGATCACAGTGTCTAAAAAGGATGAAAAGTGGGTCTTGCAATAACCAATACTCCCACCCTAATTTCAAAGGGTCTTTATATGCTGCATCCCAAGAAGTTCAAGAAAACTGTTCTGCAGCAGTACAGACCAAAGCTGTCCAAAAATACTAAAAGACCTGAACGTTCAACGTAGGTTTTGTCCATTTCACGGCATGGCATTGATCTTGTCTTTCCTCTCATATTTAAACTAGTGCCTTTTTTTCCCCCAAGGTAACTTGTAAACCATCTACATAGCAAAAAGTACTGATTAAAATGTCTGACTCATGCATTATCTTATGATCTTGTCTTTCCTCTCATATTTAAACTTGTGCCTTTTTTCCAAGATGACTTGTAAACCACCTACATAGCAAAAAGTACTGATTAAGATGTCTGACTCATGCATTGTCTTGGCAACATACTGTTTGGGACTGTCTGCCACTCCAGTAAGCTCAAGGTGGTGCACCTGGCTCTCTTCCTCCCCACTTTACACTCACAACAACCTGTGAGGTAGGCTACACAATGGTTGAGTCATTCCACAGTTAGTGGATTACCACTGCACACCTCTCCAAGAAACCCTAGTGGGGAAAAAAAGCATGCTGCCCCATACAGGCCATGGGTTCATTTAGCTAAGTGCTGTTTCTACTGACTTCCAGCGATTTCTAGGGCTTTAGGCACGATTCCCAGCCCTACCTGGAGATGACAGGAACCGAACATGGCACAAGAGGCATGTGGCACATGAACTATGTGACTTATGCAACTAATTATCTTAAAAGTTCAGAATGGTTTGCATATGCTGGTTTTTTGACAAGGATACTGGTCATGAAGCGGTTGTTGTATCATATTCCTGTGTCACAGATGCAAGACGGGTCTTAGGTATACACAGACCAGCGTATACCTTCAGGAGCACACCTGGCCCTTGAAGGGAGCTCTGTGTAGACACATACTGTACAAGCTTTCTAAAACTTACCCTGCAATGTGCTCTGAATTCTTGTTCTTGACTTTTTAAGTTCTCATTCATGGCCACCAGCGCCCGAAGCTTCTGCAATACACTAAATTACAACATTTCTTTTGTCCTTGGGAATTTTGAAAATCTTTTCTCATAAACAACAAAAGAAGTATGTCACTGGGAACAACATAATTTGTCCAACGAATACAAAATGTAAGGTAATTGGACTGCAAACTATTAATAGTTCACGAAAAACAGCAGTTCCCAGCATTGCTACTCCATCATTTGATACAGCACAAGTATTTATAAAGAAGCTCAACCCAACCACTGAAGCCAATGGAATTTAAGTTTAGATGCAATACTTGTGTTCTGTCTTTTAAAAAGGTATATTTCAACCAGGATGGAGTTTTTCAAAGGAAATATGTGGGAACCATTTTGAGTCCTCTCCTAGATTTAGGATAAATTCAATTTTCATAGATTCTTGTAAAGCCTAAATAAGACATCAGGATCAAACTAGACAAGGTACATAGGTCACAATTAAAAGCTGGCAGCATGTGTGCCTTCTAGCAACAGAATGGCCTCAGAGCTGTAGGTCTGGGCAATCAGACTTGCAAACAAAGCTCTTAATGACCAATCCCAAAAAGCAAGCTCATTTGCAAGACATAAAGGTGAGAACATCTTGTGCTAAAAATTCCTTATTACCCTTCAGTAAACAAAAGTGAGCTGAGCATCTTGTCAAGTTTGACCATTAAGCTGCAATCATAGCCACTCACACATGCCTTGCACAGAAAAGGCCAAAGGTTGCACTTTTGCAAAGAAGCACAGTGGATTTGGTTTAAATAAAACTAAATTAAATCATGATTTATTTATTTTTTAATGGATTTTTTCATCAATTTAAATAAAAATGATTTTAAAATTTCAAATTGTGGTTTAAATCCATCTGACTATTTTTAAAAACACTGATTTTAGCCAACCTGCAAAGAATTGCTATGTGGGGGTGGGGGGAGAGAAATAGATGAATTGGAGCTGCTTTTTCTTTGGCCGTGTCCATTAATTTCAGCAGAGCTGAGCTGCTTTTTCTTTGGTCGTGTCCATTAATTTCAGCAGGGTTTTTTCAAGCAGGGAAGAATGCTAACATTTTTTCCAGCCTTTTTCAAGGGAAGAATGCTAACATTTTTTCCAGCCAGCTACAGACATTCTTGTTTTTAAATTTCTCTAAGAGGGAAAGCCTGGTGCAATTCACTCCTATGGACTCACAACCCACCTCTTTTCTATCATTCGTTTACAACCTCGAATGTTCTTACCCCATAGATGCACCAGTTTTGCAAAACAAATAGACTCAGGAACAACTATACGCACACATAACATACTCACAGTGGGGAAACCGATATAAATAAATATATGTAAAAAAAAGAGTCAGTGGTTGGTAAGGGAGGGTACAGAAGAACTGGAGACATACTTTGAATCTGCTTGGGATTCCACTATTTCCAAGGCGGACAGTTCCTTGTCCAGTTTTTCACTGTAATTCTTAACCTATAGGATTGGAATTGATAAAAGCTGTTGTAAACATACGGAATAAATAAGTGGTAAGAATCAACTGAATCTGCAAGGAAATTTCTCTTAAGAGCTGTCATGCTGTACTAAAAAAACTTTTTGTGCAATTTAATTGCCTTTCTATACACAACCTCCACAACACCTAGAAGTCGTCATTCTTCACCAGTGGCAGAAGAGGACCAGAAATAGCCCAGGTGAAGTGCAGTGCTTTCATCATTCCCTGCTTGTCCCAAAGAAAACACTATAACGTGTACCAACAGACAAGATACCGATGTCTTTGTAGTTAAATGACGCACTGCACACTGAGCCAAGCTAGCTTATTAAATATTAACAGTAGTGGCTGAATGTCCCACTCCTTCAAACAAAATTACTTCAGCTAGCTTAGATACAGCCATGGCCAACATAGCCAATATCAAACAGAAAGCTGAGCTTGAATTCATTTAATTTTTCACCAAAAAACAAACATTTTCCCCCCAGTTTTATGCATAGATAAATTTCAATTACCACAGAAGTTAATAGGTTACATTTAGGCTGTAACTCAAGGTAATTATTTTGGAAGCACATCCAAGTTAATTATTTGGACATCAGAAAATCATGGCTTGGCCTGAACCATTTCTCACAGTTAATGAGATGTCAGAGAAGGCTCCTTTACAAGCTACAATAATGTAAGGTTGAATGAGAGAACACCTCTTTTCCCTTTTTTTTTCAGAGGTGCTCCTTCAAGAGGTAAAATCTGTTGGTCATAGCATGTGATCTTCCTCATTGAAGTATCTCATCTATTTTGCTTTCAATGTGTCACTGAAAGTAATCATGTGCTTCACCTGTAAGTCTGATGGCTGAGAAAGGTCTCTCTCTGTGGCAACCCCATGGAAGGAGGGCAAAGGGTTCATTCCGGGGAAGATGCATTGACCCTTATGCAGCACAATTTGGAAATCAAATCTTTCTGTTTCATATGAAAGCCCGACTGCCAATACAATTCCACATGAGGCTGCTGGGATGCCACACCATCCTTGCAGTTCTCAAGGACAACTGCCTTTCCTTAGGTGGTCATTAAAGCTGCAATCGTATGCACACTTATTAAAAGTGCAAACACGGACAGAATTCCACTGCAAGAAACCTATATGGAACTTGCTCCTGTTGAGCTGCACTCCTTCCATCACTGAAAGGAAAAGAAGAGGACCCTTGTGGGATTTTTGCAGAGTCTCTGCTGGGTTTGGGGGCTGGGGAAGATTGGCAACTGTCATGCCAGGGACAGTATGAAAAGAAAGGAGAGAAAGAACACGGCTACTGCACGCAGTTAATTGGGATAACTGTTGCAAAGCAGCGGTCAGTAAGATGCTAAAACCTCCCTTAACAAGGGACAGCAAAAATGGTACTACTACAGGCTACATTGTATTCCTTTTATCTCATACCCAAAGGCAAAGGCACCAATTTTTAGACTGGCCTCATTTAGTCTTTTTTCCCCCCAATTTGGGAGACCAGACCTCACCTAGAAAGTGAGGTGGAAGAAGAGAAAACAGAAATTTACCTCAGTTAGTGTCTTCTTGGCCTCACTACATCCTGCTTCCAGGTCAGCACACTTAGCTTGCAACTGTTACCAAAGAAGAAAAACAGAGGGAACAACCCATCAAAGGGTCAGAAATGCCTTCGGTCAGGCCTTTTAATTAAACATAGCAACAGTACATGGTAATGGTGTTACTATAAACCTGAGAACCTTACTAGAATTACAGTGGTGCCTCGCTTAACAACGTTAATTCGTTCCAGCAAAATCGCTGTAAAGCGAACACATTGTAAAGCAAAATAAAAAAGCCCATTGAAACGCATTGAAAACCGTTCAACGCGTTCCAATGGGCTGAAAAACTCACCATCCAGTGAAGCTCCTCCATAGGGGCAGCCATTTCCGCTGCCTGTAGAGTGAGGAATCCGTCCAAAAACATAGCAGGGAGCCATTTTGAGCACCCGGTGGCCATTTTGAAAACCTGACGATCAACTGTTTTGATCATCGTAATGCGAAGAATCAGTTTCCGAAGCAGGGAACCAATCTTTGCAAAGCGGAAAAAAAACATGTAAAACATCATTTTGCGATTGCAATTGTGATCGCAAAAACATCATTGTGAAGCGGATTCATCGTTATACGAGGTAATCGTTAAGCGGCGCACGACTGTATTCTCATGTAACTGTCCATCTCGTATCTGTATTACAACAGAATTTAGTGAGAAAATGTGATTCACCACATTTCAGCATTTATCACACACTCATCAGAATCCACTTGGTGTTTGCCTAACGTTTGTAAAATGTACCATGGCGAATTTGAGCTAACTGACAAGGTGGCTAGGGCACATTTTAGTTGCATAATCAGACATGTAACCAAGCATGTGACGGAGATGCACCCCAACTCCCCATCAATTAGCCATGGCAAGTTATGCAAACCTAAAGTGAACACCAATGGAATTCTGGCCATCATATGCACAAAATGTACAAAACTATCAGGCTAGGTTCCTCTTGCACCATGCATGGTTCTATAATCTCTGACCCCCTAGGAGCAATATCTCGGGGACAAAAGGGACTGCAGAGTATAGATGAAGAAACTGCTGAAAACTGGGCAAGCAGAGTACTCTCCAGTGGTAGAAAGTCTTCTCTGGACACAAGCCCATGTCTGCACACCTGTGCATGCCCCATTTCACACAAGGACACTGAAATAAAGAATGCTGGCTTAAATGAACAAATTCTGGAAAATTGCAGAGAAATACAATTTACAGAACTCTCACATAGGCAAGTCAGGTTGATTCCATAAAATCATATTCCCTTGTGTTTCATGAGAATGCTAACACAGAGGGAAAACAGCAGATGGGACCAAACAGATGGCAACAAAGTTGTGAAACTGCAAAGAGGGTGACAGGCACAACAGTAGTTTTACCAGTGGCCAAAGGAACTCCAATACAATATTCTACAGGAATAATAACAGGTTGCCGCAAACAATCCATTTGGTTTTTTATGACAACAGCTCCCAGAATCACGCAGCAGCCTGGCTCTGTTCTCAAAAATTCCCATTTTTTGTTCTGAAGGCACTTTTGACTTACGTTTCCCCATTAATTCAGACTGGTAACATGGTTTAAAATCAACTTTAAAATTCAGACAATTAAAAAAAAGAAAAAGCATACTTCTTCCAGCTGCTTCGTTTTCTGCAAGATCTGCTTGTTTAGAGAGGCCACCTTCCTTCTGTGCTGCTGGGCAGCCCCAAGTCTTTCTGGACGCTCTTCGGCAGAGAGTTCTGATTGCTATTGGGGGGGGGGAAGGGGTCAAGGAAAAACACAGAAATGTATTGTTCCAACATTCCTGCCAGATTCAGAGATAATTATGAAGTCTAGCTTTTGTACAGGACCACTCTACAACTGACTAGAAAGCCAACATGAAAGAAAAAGATAGGAGGTTGTGTGTGTCCCACGGTACAGCAGGATGGGGCTCCACATGGGTTTCAAGACTACTGCTTCCTCAATCCTTTGCCCTTTGCCATTCTGGCCAGGGATTCTGGAAGAGCCAAAGATTCTGTATAAAACATCAGGAAGACCAAAGATGGTCATTCCTGTGTTACAGACGCCAAGCACTTAAATTGGCAGAGATTTTCCACATAACAAAAAGAAGAGGAAGGGAATTATTCATGTTCTACTTTGACCCACACGGATCACCACCCCTGCATGTAGTTAGGAAGAGATGAGTGGCTAAAGGACGGAGTGATTAACAATAAATCATAGACGTAAAATCAGAGCAGAAATAAAAAGTAAAAAATAAAGACAAAAACAGGGTGGAATCTTAAAGACTAACTTACAGGAAAAGAAGAAAATGTGACCTGCTAAAACCCAATGTTTGAAAAATATTCTCTATTTGCAGTACTTATAAACTGACACACAAAGTATAACAAGCAGGAATGTAACAAGCATACAGTTCAATATAATACAGATGATGTCTCCCTGACGTTGCTTGAAATTGAAGCCCAAAACATGTCTGACACATAACCCAGCTACTGATTTAAGCAACAACCAGTGTATTTACTAAAAGTGACAGATCTGTGATTTTTAAGAAGAAACATCTCTTGATAAATGACAAAAACCTGAGCTATTAATTCAATTCATTTCCCATCACAGACCACAGCTTTTCTGTTTAAAATCTATAATTAAGACATGTAGCAGTTGCTACAAACACCCACATAGGTTCATCTTGTTTTGCCATTTATTCACTGATTAAGGCATAAAAGTATGAGATGACTGAAATACCCACGTCCTCCCTGTCAAAAAACTAACAATGTAACAACCGGAAGCCAGACTGTTACTGCATAAAGACAACACTCAAAATGCTATAGCATATACTGAACTGCCTAAATCAGAACTAAATTAGAAACTTTTAGTGGTCCAAAAACAATGCAGCCAGATTGTTAACCACCATCACCAGCAGAAGCCTTACAGCAGCTCCAATGGCTGCCAATCTGTTTCTATTCAAATTCCTGGTTTTAATTGACAACGCTCTAAATGGCTCAGCCGGAGCTATCTCAAGGAGCACATCTCCCTTTATGAGCCTGCTCCTTAAGATCATCAGGCAAGGCATTCCCCTTACTCCCACTACCCTCACTGTTTTGTGGGGACATGGGAAAGGGCTTTCTCTGTCTCTGCTCCCGGACACACCACCCCTACATGTACTTAGGAAGAGATGAGTGACTGAGGCTTGTTTAAAACACATAAAGTTTTTTTTTCTTTTTCAACTACATGTATTGTCTGGCTACAATGGAATAAGCAAGTCAGTGAATTTGTTGAGAAACTCTAAATCCTGTATATTGGATTAGAAATGTAATGCATCAAACACATTTTTACGTCATTTTATGGGTGTCATGTAACCAGCTTCGAGGGAGGCAGGACCACAGAAAGAAACTGCACATTGCATCTTATACTTACAAATCTATTGTTCTAAGTGTAGTTTGTCTTACCAAAGTGATAACATGCTCAAAGAAAAAGTTTTCACCACTTAGTGTGCAACAGTTTTTCCTTTTCCCTGGACAGAAGGTGGCTATTGTCTTCCATTCCTCCTTGCCCGCTTCAAAGAAAGAAGGCTAGGGTACTAAAAGCCTGTCTTGGTAGTTCCTCTGCACAGGAGGGAGGGCTGTCCATCCATACAGCATCTGGCCTCAGGATCCATGTCCAGCTGGCCTCACATGAGTGCATCTGAATGTTTCCTTTTGCTATATTGCATCATGCTGTGTCCCTGCTAATCATGTCATAAACCTAAAGCAAACCTTCTAAGATACCAGTCACTTTCTTAGTTCATTGAGGTACTGGTTGGTCCTGAGCTTCCAATCAGCACATTCTTGCATTCAAATTTTTTAAACCCCATATTATTAGGCTGTTGGTTTTTTTCACATTTCAAATACAAATGAATTTGTAGATACCAGCAAATTGTTGAAAAACAAAATTCTCCACCTGCACCAGCACAACTGCAATAGGCACAGCTGCTCACAACATGGAGAGGACCACCCTCTACTGCCTGATATGCAGATGTTACAGACAAGGGAGCATTAGTGAAAAAGAAGAAGAAATGGCAACCCTAATTTAACATTAATAAAATGGAATACCCAGGGCTTCAAAGATAGAGTTTTTAGAGTTAAGGGTTCAAACCACAGGGCCTGGGTGGAGGAAACTCAGTTCTCGTTTCCGCCACAATTTCTGCTCCTCTGCCTATGAAAACACTGGCAAATTTTACTCATTTATTTTTACAAACTGTTATTGATCCCTGTTCTTTTCAATGTCTGCTCTTGGCACCAATTTCAGAAGATCCAGAGCAGATCTGGAGGAAGCCAGGAAAGAGGAAATCTGTTCTTCCTATAGGTTCTGGGCTTGTGGCAACAAGTAATCATTGGATACAACCTTCCATCTCTTTCCGTCCAAGTATAGAGTTTTTAAAAACTCTTGCCCAAAGCTTGTTCAGCACTTTTCTCTCTCTCGCTTCTGACTGAAGCTACGCAACCTTTCAGAATCATTTGTCCTTCTCAACTCAAGAAGAACTTGTTTATTTCCATTCTTTCATTCCCAGAGGTAGTATCCATTCTTTGATAGATTCAATAATAATCACAAGAAGATTGACTTCCCCAAATGTAAGATGTGTACTGAAGTGACAGCCCTGTATCAACTACTGTGGCTCAAGGACTCAAACAAAAACAAAAACATTATTTTTTTAGCCATCTTCATTACACGCTGACAGGAAATCCATTATGCCAGCCTGAAAAATAAAAATAGCTGAGCCAGATTCTTAAACCCTTTAACTAGCAGAAAGATGGATGGAAAAGGGATAATGAGGAGGAAATAAGGACTGAAAAATAGGTTTGCTTCTAAATAAAACCCAATATGAGACAAAATGTCCTACTATTGGGTTAAAAAAAATTATTAACAGAACTTCATGAAATAGCTATATAAAGGCCTTTTCCAAATGAGACTCACCATGGAGCTGTTCTTCTTTCTAAGTCAAACCATAATAACAGCAGCAGGCTTTTGATGACATCTCTGTATGCTCAATATATTCCAAGCAGATGAAAAACATATATAGGTATGACAGAAGTCAAAGCAAGCGAAAACGCACATGTGCAGTATCCTGTTCAATTCACCACATACAGAACATGCCCTGTAATGTTTTCGTTAGCCAACATTTTGTACGGCACCTTTATTAACTGTTGCAAGGATCAGAAACTCCCAAATCTCCCAAGCTCCACAGAAGATGCAGTGAGTTGCAGTCCAAAAACAGAACCCTTTTTTTTCAAGCTCTAAACCAAGTCATATTGCATTACAGAGAACACGTCTTTTTAGAAATAGAATCAAGAAAGGTGAAGCCCTGAAAGTTGTAGACTTAAGAATGCTTGATTGAAAATAACAACGGGTACAAATTACCTACCTTCTCAGCATACTCTGAGACAATCTGCTTGATCTCATCAGACTGAAGTCCAACAATCTGCCCTACGGTGCTTGCAGTCAGTCTGCCCTGCAAGTAGAGCACAAGTGGTGTGAATGCCTGGGAAGAGGCAATATATTGCAAGCCAGTTTGATGCAAATTGCCCTCTCTATTTCACGAGAAACGGCAATTTCGGTCCATTACTTGGCTTCCCTGGAAGCAGTGAAGCTTAGATGGAGAAGAGCAACACAAGGTAGATTGGGGAATGGGACGAGGCGCAACACAAAAGACAGTCAGGAAAGCAGCCAAGAGGGGCAAAGACTGTTCTGCAGTGATGAATCTGAATCTGGCTGCAAGAAAGGGAAGAGATCATTTGTTGTGGCTAATCTTGGCAAGACTGTCCTCGCAATGCACCAAAGGTTATTCGTCACCACAGTCAGTATAAGAGACCATCTGCCTCTAAATATCAATTCCTGGAGAACATGAGCAAGAGGGTGCTACCATGTTCATCTCCTGCCTGTGGATTTGGCAGGAAGAGCACTGGGCTTTACCCTGATCTTTTCGCATCAAGTCAGGCCTGCCTGTGGATTTGGCAGGAAGAGCACTAGACTAAACAAGACAGGGCTTTACCTTGATCTTTTCGCATCAAGTCAGAGGACAATGGCTGCTGCTGTTTGACTACCCATGGCTCTTGCTTGAAGTGAAAGACTTAAAACATGGGCTATTGCGAGCTGTGCATCAGCATGGAAGGAAGACACGTGCGTATATTTAAGTGACAGAATCCATGGGCAAGGTGGGAGAATGGGTGTTTGTGTTGTGTTATTTAATTACTAAATGTGGAGGTTTCCATGATCATAATACAGTATAACTGTATCGGTGAAGCATGGATGCTATGGAGTAAGTAGAAAAATTGGTACAAGGAAAGGATGCAGTCATTAGTAGGACACAACAAAGCAAGGAGACTTTAAACAGTAACAAAGGGAGATGGAGTCAGTCCATTCGCTCTGGTAAAAGGTCACCTCTGCTGAGATTTTCCTCTCCTTGATTTGTTTTCACTTGCTCGTTACAAGAACTAATATATTTAATTTTGAGAACAGGTGCCTACATGTATTGTCTGTCTCTTTGCTTCCCATTCCCTTTCCCTTTTGTATTGGGTCTTTTAAATTGTACACTTATAAAAGTAGAAAAGTCTCTTTACTCTTTATACACAGGCCAATCAAACCGCTTCAGGAGCCTTTTCATTACAAGTATAAGACAGAAGGGCAATAAGTTTATTGGGATAGTTATGATTATGATGAGAACATCTCTACTCACAGGAAAGACCTGCAATTACTTGCAAGTAGTATCTCTCCCTATTATTTAACATAAATAGCAGGAGCCTACTGGGGCAATTCAGAGGTCAAAACACTTGAGAAACACCTCCTTCATCACTTACTAGTCTTTCGTTTCTGTCAATTTTATGCTGTAGTTTCACGTCTCAGGCTGTCTCACTCCAGTTAACCTCACTTTAAAGGTTGTACCAGCTTTCAAGTCAACTTGCAGATGTAGAGAAAAACAACAGAGATGTGAATGTGCTGTTTATGTTGCTGTACCAAGCTAGTTTATTTGGTACAGAACAAAACTAGATCGTAAGTGAATACCTTTTGCATTTATTCTCCACAGGATAAGTCACAGTTCAGTCCAGTTTCAACTCATAGCCCCATGAAAGAGGGACTATTTCAGATAAAAAGCACGTGGCAACAGTTACACTGGGACACATATTTTCATAAGAACTCAAAATTAACAAGTCAAGAAGGGTCTTACCTCTTCTGTTCCCATTGCAGCCATCTCAGTCATCAAAGTTTTAATACGAAGCTGATGGAATAAAGGATAAGAGATTTTGGTTTCCAAACAAGCAGTGCTATTTAGATAATACCTGACAATCTTTCCAGTATGGAATTTTTCACCATCCCTAGGCAGCGCAGCCAGTAGCGAAGGACGATGGGCATAATAGTACAAAGTCACCTGCCCAAACGTACACATAAGCCTCTTGTGACAGAACCCAGTGTGACAAGCTGCAGCCTCTGCTCCTCAACCCCAGACAAACAATAAAAGAAAGAAGCATCCTTCTCTTTAAGCCCTGGTAGCAAAAGCAGCAGCCTCATTGCTAAAAGTAAAGTACGCTTATGCCGAACAGGCATAGATACCAGAGAGAGAAAGAGAGAATGAGAGAGTGATTGGAAGAGTGGTTCTTCTATGTAAACACCAGTGAAGTCTATCTTTTAGTTCAAGGACAATGTCACATACATGAGTGTAAGCTTTTTGGAAATGAGTGCAATGTAGACATTGACAATCAATCAAAGCCATCTAATAAAAGACACCACTGAAGAGCTACTAAAAGTGTTTGCCCATTATTCCATAGCATGCAAAGCTGGAGTGCAGAAAGCTTCTGTCAGCAAATTCCTTAATTGCAGTGAAAAGCAGGGGGGACCTCAAGCTATTAATTAGCCCATCCACGCATCAGGATGTAAAGGACCCCTGATTAAGCTCATCCTAAGCTACCAGTTATGCAGACCTCTTCTGCAGCTTGAAGGTCATCTTCGGTATAGGCATCAGTTTTCCCTGCTGATGCAAGCCCAGGCGGCAGCACCATTTTCTTCTCTTCAGCCTGTTATTAAAGGGGGGGGGGAGTGCCAATATGATTAAGATGAAAGATGGAACAGCTTGTCTACAGAATCATGAGTGGGGACTAAAATTTACCAAAAAGTAAAACATCAATATAGAACAGATTATCTTCCTCATCCTAGCTCAGTCTTTTTAGAGGCACAGGAGTGGACTATACTGAAATCTCTGTGTGACAGTTTCACACATATAAACAGGGATGCATAGATAATGTATCACACACACACCTACACACACATACACAAACACAATAGTAAAGATACAAGGCTGGACACAGTGAAAAGCAAGCCATGTTCTGCGAATCAAAACATAGTTTTGAAAGACTCTATAGCTCCTGGAGTTTAGTGCAGTAAATTACAGTAGAGTAGATCCATTTGAATTTATTAAGAGGTTGACTCAACAAATTCCCACTGATTCAATGGGCCTACTCTAGTGCGACATACTACACGAAGCATTAGGATTTCAGCATGCAGAAACAGTCCACACATGAGTGGCAGAAATACAATTTCAAACCATCTTGTACGCTACCACATTATTTGCCTGCACAGGATGCCCCTCACAATGCCTTGGTTCTGATGACAGCATTTGATAGTTCAAGGCACACAAACATACCAAGTTCAACAGGAAATGGTGAAGAGATGTGGCTGGATTTTACAGAATTAAATAAAAGGAGTGGGATATGTATTTCAGAATATTGTTTGCGAGGGAATGCATATGGCATGATTTGTCTTTTTTTTACAATACTATTTTTTTGTCATTCTGCATTGATATATACCGTTTTCCCGAAAATAAGACCTAATCTGAGAATAAGCCATAGTATGATTTTTCAGAATGCTCGTAATATAAGCCCTACCCCCAAAATAAGCCCCAGTTAAGTGAAACCCCGCCCTCCACCAGGGACTCACTGAGCAGCAACCAGAAAATGATGATGGGAATGTCTTTGAATAAATGTAGATGGTTGTACATTAAAAAAAATCCCCTGAAAATAAGCCCTAATGTGTTTTTTGAAGCAAAAATTAATATAAGACCCTTTTCTGAAAATCTAATTGAGGCATACTATGTTATTGACTTTCTAGAGAAAAGGGCTCTTTATTCTTCAGTATTAGTTTCTAACACTAGTCAATTATTTCCTCCCAGAATGATTATCTCAAACATGAGGAAACGCCTTTGAGTCACCCAGTGAGATGTATAAGGTTTCCTGGTGGCAATCAAGGCAGAAACAAAAATAATGAAGAAAATGCTTGCCAAGAATAAACAGTGGCCGTGGCAAAATTGTTTTCAAACTATAGCGTGTGAACTGATTAAAGGAAGCAACAGGCTTGAGTTTACAAGAGCTGAACTGTTGAGAACAGAACATGGCTCATTCATAGGCTGGCCATAAGTCGGAGGCGACTGGACAGCAGGTAACAGCAACAACTGATAAACATCTACAGAGCTGTCAGCACAGTGATAAGAGACTGTGTCCAGATCCAGTAGTGCCTTATCGTTCCACCAATGGGTTCAACACAGCTGTATCTGAGTGAGGGAAGGAGTCATATTTCAGTTCTGATGAGACTTCCTATTCAATGGCTATCAACCATGAAAATTGCAGTACAATGCAGGATTTTAAAAAAATAATAAGGAAAAGCGATATAGAAGTGTTGCTATATCACAAGTAATGCTGTACTAAAACTGTGGCGGCAAAGTACAAGAAAATCGGAAAAGAGGTTTGAAATACATTTGCGAACTGCTGCATTTAGAGATGGGCACAATCTGTGCTTCAGCACACTTTGGCAGACTGGGCCACAGCTGTTGTGTGGGCACCTGCAGGAGAAAGCGAGGGCGGGAATCTGGGACACCCACATAACATCCGTGGGCCCAATCCGCACCAATGTACCAAACTGTGGAACGTGCCCACCTTTAGCTGCATTATATTTTTCAAAATACATATATATTAGTTATTTACACCAAAGCTGCGGAACCTATCCAATTCCCCTTCAACCTCTGCTATCCTGCCCAATAGTTGAAGGATAACAGTAATACCTCAGATAGCACTGCAGCAGTTGGTAAAAAAATAATAACAATATATTCATCATATATATGTTTTTCACAGCAGGTGGCAAACTACATAATACTCTGCTTAGCAGTTAGGATAAATTCAAAGAAAGTGGAACAGTATTAGAATCAGTGCTAAACAGGGTCATTTTAAATTTATACTTTATGCCATACATTCTGGAAGCCTGGTCTATCTCCAGCATAGCACCGGTAGACCTGGTCCCAGATCTAGTGCTGCCCTGCAAACTGGGACCCTGTTGAGCACCACAAAGTGGACAAGCCAGCATGTGTGCTGTAGCAAATCAGCGCTAATCAGTGCAGCGGTATGTGAGATATTGCTGTAATAAGCACTTTAAAAGAATGCCAAATTAAGGGGAAAAAGTCAGTTCAAACTGACAACAAAATCAAAACTTTGTAAAGTTAAAGAAAATAACATTAGCATTTCTTAAAAGGCTGGAAAAACAGATTACAGTGGTGCCTTGCTTGACGACGATAATCCGTTCCGTTCAAATCGCTGTTAAGCGTAATCGTTGTCAAGCGAAAGCAAAAAAACCCATTGAAATTCAATGAAAACCGGTCAATGTGTTCCAATGGGCAAAATACCTCCTCGTGCAGCGAAGATCCTCCATAGGGCGGCCATTTTCCGATTTCTGTAAAGCGAAGAATCTGTCCTGAACACAGCGGGGAGCCATTTTGAAACCCTGCTGATCAGCTGTTTTTGATTGTCGTTAAGCGAAAAATCGGTTCCTGAAGCAGGGAACCGATCATCGTCAAGCAGATTTTCCCCATTTAAACATCATTTTGCGATCGCAAAAACTCATCGTAAAGCAGATTCGTCGTTTAACGAGGTAATCGTCAAGCGGGGTACCACTGTATTTTTTTGCCTGAAACCTTAATGACTGCAACAAGAATACCTGAAGAGAGTGTTCAAAAGCTGCCTCATGTGTCCAAGCATTGCATTCAAAACATGATATAGGGTTGCCTTTTTGTCCTCTGTGTCCCTTGAAACTTGCTGCAAGAGGATAAGTTTCGAGAAAATGCAAGAAGAGGTCATGCTGATAGAAACAGTTTTGCCAGCTGAACCAACCCTTTGATTCACATCAAAACCTAGTCTTCTCTCATTCCTACCTTATTTGTATTCTTGGGCAAGAACCAACCTTACCTTCTCAGTTTTTCCTTGTCTGCTGAACCCATATCTCCTGTAATGTATAAAGGCAGGGGCGAGGATGACAGAAAGAACAAGAGAGACTTTGAGGCTAGATTAACTTCAGCATAATAAAAGACTTCTTTTTTTTCAAACATGCACAGAACAGCCCTCAATGCTTTTTTTAGAGCAAAATGAAAATAAAAGAAAAACCTCAGGGTTAGTTGTGTGGTAAGGGGTGGGGGAAGCAGCAAACACACAGCAAACAAACCATCAGTCCCACCGGGTCCCAAGCTACCTGAAACTATATATACTGTTTTTATATACTAGTCTTAGAACACTAGCTTAATTGCTTTTTAATATTGTAACAATTAATAGGTTCTTAGCTGTTAATGTTTGTTTTAATGTTGAAAGCTGCCTTGGGTCCTCCTGAAATATTTTAAACAAATAAATAGGTTTCTTTTTTTTTCTTGCTCTGCCTTCTATCATCAGTGGAAAAGCCTCACAGTCTTTTCATTTGCAGTACACCCATGTGTTAAGACAATGACTGACTTGAGTCTCCATACAGGAGAACACCACCCTGATTTCTACTGTAATGCTCTCTACGTGGGGCTACCTTTGAGATCAATGTGGAAACTCCAAATGGTGCAGAACTTCTTAGTGGGGTGAGGAAACATCAACATATCTCCCCCACTCTGGCCGCCCTACACTGGCTGCCCGTTCAGTTCCGCGTTGATTTCAAAGTTCTAATGCTTACGTATAAAGCCCTAAACGGTTTAGGGCCTCGATATCTGACGGAACGCCTCCTCCCACCTAAATCTACTCGTATCACTTGATCTAGCCAGGAGGTGAGGCTGAGGAGCCTAATGCTGAGGGAGGCCCGGAAGGGAAAAAATAAGAAACCGGGCCTTCTCGGCAGTGGCTCCTCACCTTTGGAATAGCCTCCCTTCTGAGATCCGTATGGCCCCTTCGCTGGGCATCTTCAAAGGTCAACTGAAAACCTGGCTATTTAGGCAAGCCTTCCCTCCAGCCACTTCTTTATTTTGTGCTTTCATCTTGGGTTCTTGTCTACTGATGTATTACTTGCTCTATGTTTTAAATTGTTTATTTTATATGTTGTTAGCCGCCCAGAGTAGTCCGTTGACTAAATGGGCAGGGTACAAATTCAATAAATAAATAAATAAATACATAAAATAAAGTAAACATAAAGCAACAACAAAGTGTGACAGCCTGTTAGATGTGGAAGACAGCTAACATGTCTTTCCTTAACCTTGTCTTCTCCATGCCCTGCAACTTCAATTATGCCTCCTGGGAATTCACTTCCAGACCCTTCGCCATCCTGACCGCTCTCTTCTGCCCCTGTTCACTCACGTTCTTGGGCAAAGAGCTCCAGATGTGATCTCACTACCGCAAAGCAGAGTGGAACAATTCCTTGCCATTATTGGGACTTCAGCTTCCGTCCATGCAGCCTGACTGCATGAGCTTTTCAGACAGCTGCACTGCACTGCTCAGTCACTTTCAGCTCATGATTTGCTAAGACGCTCAGATTCTTTTAATACCTGCTGCTTCCAAGACAGGTTTTCCCAATCCTTTGATTCCATGCACCTGAATGCAGGATTTTACACTGCTCTTCACTGGATTTCATCTTGGCAGTTTCAGACCAGTATACCAGCATGCCAAGCATGATTAACAGCTAACACAAATACTATGAGTTAGGCAGGCTGAAGAGGGAAGGGTCCTATACCATCAGTCCAGATGTGTATCCAGATGTGAATTCAAACACAAATGAATATTTGGGTGCATACATCTTAATTTAGTTTGAAATACCTACTTTGGCATAACCTGAAATATAAGTGAAGAAAATCTCATGTTTTATTATTACTTGCAAAACTATGTTTTGAAGTCAAACCACTTTTGCTTCATATCAGTATTTTGTTCACTATGGGATGTAGTTGCAGATTAAAAGAAACAGATACACAGAGACTTCAGAAAAAGTGTTCAAAATAGTGGAAGTAAAATCTTACTGTACTTTCCCTACAACAAGTTCCTACTTTTGCGCTGAAAAATGAATCAGTCATGAAATTTCACCCAATAGCATTATTAAATGCCAAACATGTTAACAAGAAAAATGCAAACTCAAGTGCCCAAACCAACATAGAAAAGAAAAAAAATGTGCACGCATACACAAAAGAGAAATACTCACAAGAAATAATCAGTGAAACTAAGAAGAGGGAAAATAAAAAAGACAAGCAATTTGAATATGGACTATGACTAGAATTTGGCACAACTCTTTCAAATAAGGCTGTTTCCCTTTCCACCTTTTGTTCTTGTTTAGTCATCTCTGACTCTTCGTGACCCCATGGACCAGAGCACGCCAGGCCCTCCTGTCTTCTACTGCCTCCCGGAGTTTGGTCAAAGTCAAGTTGGTAGCTTTGATGACACTGTCCATCCATCTTGTCCTCTGTCGTCCCCTTCTCCTCTTGCCTTCACATTTTCCCAGCATCAGGGTCTTTTCCAGGGAGTCCTCTCAAACTCTAAAGCAGTTTCTCACTATGTCTCCCCTGCCTAATTTCTTTATGCTGCAAGAATCCCATTTGTAACAAATACTGTCATTCTCTGGAAATTCTGGCAAAAGATGGGACTGACATGTTCACCAGCCATACAAAACAGGTGTTCAGTGATCAAATGGAGATAAGGCTGTCCACTCAACCAAACAGAGGGGCAAGCACCTGTACTCAGCTCACATCACAAAAAATTTCCCAGACTGAATAGGGGACCAATGGTTCCGTTCGTGAAGCACCAATGACGGGAGCATTGTACAAGAAGTCAAATGGGTGTCCAACAGCCTAACAGTTGGATGGTTACCCCAACTATGGATCCTTATGGATGTGCTACAGCAAATCTTTTATGTGCAACAACCTCCTTTATAAAATGGGTGCTAGTATGGTGTAGTGGTTGAAGTATCTGATTAACACTGAGGAGACCCTATGGGCATCCAACAGGATGCTATGAAAAATGCGAAGTCCTTGGACACGTTGTGGCCTGAGGCTTTTTGGTTTTTTTTGCAAGAAACTGATCAGAATGGCTAATCTTATTTCTGCATCACTTTTCCTCAAAGTTCACAGGGGTCTATCTTATCCTCCAAAAACTCTCTGACATTCTTAGGCAGAGATATCATTAGCCAAGATAGTGTTAACATCTCTGTGAGTTTTACAACTGAACAGTGTTAGACCCTGGGTCTCCTCAGTGTTAATCAGATACTTCAACCACTACACCATGTACTAGCATCCATTTTATAAAGGAGGTTGTTGCCCATAAAAGCTTTGCTGTATCACATCCGTAAGGATCCATAGTACCACATAACTATTTGCTGTTTTACCCAGATTAAGGAAAATGGCTCAGTGAAAGTGATTCAGTTCGCACATTTTGGTGGGAGGAATTTTGCTCCTGTGTAGACATGTGCATTTCATCCTTTTAACCCTCTAAATTCCTATGGTTATATGAATGAAATCACCCTCAACACTTGGAAATCAAGTCATGGCCAATCATCGGGCTTGTAATAGCTAAGGATATTCATACAGGAAGTCTGAAGAACATGCTACCTACAGAGAAGTCCTCCTATAGCTCATTCAACAGCTGAGGAATAGCTACTTACCAACTGAGGGAAGTTCCAAAGCATGTACTGAAGGACATACTTATTTTTCACAGGTTGGAGACCAGTTCCCATGTGAACCAAGTGTGCAGCCTGGGACACATCCTGTAGCTAATGATACAGCACTGCACCTCTCTAGCTGCTACAGAAAACAAGCAGGAGGGTACCACTGTGATGAAGTCCTGTTGTAGGCTTCCTACCGGCAATCTGTTTGCACACAGTGAAAACAGAATGCTGGACTTTTAGCTTGAATCAACTTCTCAGGAGCACTGGAAAAGGTCTCCTCACAAAGGAATTCCTGATGAGTGTTCAGGAACCTCAGTATTACTCCAAATACAGAATTTATTTACCTGCCGTATTCCAAAAGTGTAGCATGAACTTTAGAGTCTTCATCTATTAACTTTTCTGCTCCTGCTCGTCGCTGGTATTTCCTTTGTGGCTTGTAGACCTCCTGAAAAGACAAGTGAGTGCAACGTTTCAAACATCAAATGATCAGAAAGAAACTGTACAAGTCCCTCCAGTTTCAATACCTTTCATTTACAGAATGAGTTGTTGGTCACTAGGGCCAACCTTGAAGACTATGCAACAACTTGAAGGTTTTGAGCAAGAGTCAGGGGACTTCCACACAGATAATGGCACTCCCCCCCTCATCCTCTCAATGCACTCTCAAATCTATCTGAATGGTCTCCCGACCTCCTAGAACAGACTAAAGGGGCAAGGAGTTTGAAGGAAAAGAAAGGAGAACAGTCTTTCTCCCCGTTCCATTAACGGGAGCAGTTTCACTGGATACCACCTCTAAATGAAGTACACCAATACTGTACAAGGAATGAAGAATTAGCTGAACTTACGCTCATCAATTCCAATCCAACATCACCAAAACTGTTTGGCTTCAAATCTATACTTTCAAATCTATATTTTCACACACTTCACTGTCTGCCCAGTTGAAAAATCCTACTCTGAAGTAGACACTTGATCCAAATACCTACATATCTACAAGACATCTTAAAACAGTAAGGAAAATGATAATGATTTTTTAAAAATATATATCTTGTATAATTAAACATTTCATTCTGAGTTACTACAGTTATGCATCCTAGTTTCAACCTCTTACTAAATAATTATATCTAATTATCAGTTACTTCCTTACAGCTACTTTAGTCAATCAACTGAGAAAGTAAAATTAATTTTAGCATTATTGGAGTGAGGAAATGAAGAAAAGGTTTCTAGTATCTTGTTGATTATTAAAAGGAATAGAAATAAGCCAGAACACTTAAGCCAAGGGCAAAACAGCCAAACTGGAGCCAATAATTCCGAAGGCCAGGACGATACAAACATATTTCATATTACAGCTTGCATCCCCAAAATAAATCATCTGGGAGTGAGGATTTCTGTACAATTCCTCTTTATCAATGCCAGGCAAGGCTAGCCCTAGAGTGAGGTAGCCATTTCAGGCAGCTGACTCTTGAGTGTCATAAAATGGCAGCCAGCATGGGGCCCACCTCCAACCAGCTCTTCTGAAGGCATGAAAGACCTTTCCATAGCTAAGGAGAAAATTCCCACACACACAACATGAAGAACCAGCACCACATCTTACATCTTGATTAGAGTTTCCAACATCTTGATTCTTGAAATGCCTCCTAAAGGAACTGTTCCTTCCTTGCCTTCTACAATTTATTCTTGCAATCCCATGTTTGTTTTGCTCTGGCTCAAAATCCTGTGCTTAAATTGTTTGTTTGTTTGTTTGTTTGCTTTGCTCTGGCTCAAAATCCTGTGCTTAATGCACATACACCGTATTTCCCTGCACAATTATACAACATTCCTGGGTCTTCCTCACCACTTATTGCTCCCTTTTTAAATACAAGAATTACCGCCATGTAAGGCAGAGAAGCAATGGGGGAGGGTTGGGGAGCAGAGATCAAAATTAACCTTGGGAAAGTGATATCGACAGGATGTCTCAGAAATATTGTTTGCTTAGACTACATATCCCACAATCCTCCAGCCCACATAGCTAGCCATGTAGGGTGAATTCTTAGAACTACAAAACAGTAACTTTTCCAAGTTCTGACCTACAGTGCACAGCTGCATGAGTTAAATGGAACGAAGGGAATATTTTTAAAAAAGAAAGCGCAGGTAGGTCTTTTAAAAATAATCCACTTCAGTACTGCTAGCACTTCTCATACAGTACTAGAATCTCTCACACAGAGACACACAGAGACACAGATGTGTGTGTGTGTGTATGTGTGTGTGTGTATATATCTATATATATGTATGTATATGTATATGTATAGAGAAAACAAGAAAGGCAGAGCAAGCAAGAGAGAGAGAGAGAGAGAGAGAGAGAAAGCATCCCTGTCAGATATTCTTTGTAAAAACTTCTGACGAACACAGCAGGGCCTGGACTCTGAAGCATGACATCCTGCACTTTGTTCCAGACACAATGACAAAAGCAGTTTACTTCGACAAACGAGACTGCAGTTTCCACAGCTTGCCTTCTCTACTCTGTTGACTCTGCCTGAAGAAGGTATGTCAAGAGATTGTTACCCACCTACCCTCCTTTAGTATGAAATGTTTTGATCAAAGTTGCTAGCTTCACAAGTGGAAAATCTTTTTATACTATGGCATATTGGTTGGGACACAACAAAAGCACTTCAAAATTAGGCTCTTCCAAGTTTACAGCAGCCTCGTGTTGTACATTGTACTTTAAAAATTAGACGTGAACAGCAGTTTACTAAAATTGCTGCAAAACAATTAGCAAACTCTCTAGTCAAGCAAGGTCACTGCACCATAGTATTCCTGACAGCTAAACATATTTCACAAATGATACCAAAGCATAAACAAGAGAGAATTGAAAGCATATTGAAATAAGTAGAATGTATTTATATTGCAATGTGTTAATATGACTGGAAATAATTTTGCATATCCAATAATTTGCTCTCTTTGTAGTTACAGTATCTTGGTGTTGCAGTATCTTAAGGTTCTGGAGCCTTTATTCCTTTACAAAAATTTTAGTCAAAACAATGACATGCATTATTTTGAGTTAGATTTTGAATTACAAACTCTTGTTGCATTAGGTGCAACAACAATAGAGATTCCTATTAAAATATATACAGGGGTAAATACAACTTCTCTTGGTCTTTATACAGTCCTGGTCATTCACAGTAGTTCTTCAGTTTGCAAAGGTAAATTACAGTTTTCAGTAACCAAAGATTGTTACCAATGTAAATAGTCCAGCATCCACGAAGTCTTCTCCTCTCACCACGGAGATAGTCTTCCTCCAGGATCTTCTCCTTGCAATATGGCAAGTCTTCATCCAGCGATGCAGTATATACAGCTCTCAACAACACAATCACCAGCAACACAACAATCCAACCACCCAAACTATCCAACTACCCAACAATTTGTCTCTGCAAGCTTGGCTAGTTTTATTCTTGGTTGAACCAATCAAATTGGTTGTCACACAGCTGCCTCAATTAACCCAGCTGTGTTCCTTTGTTACATGTTGCTTGACTAAATTCTGATTCTGTAACAACTTATACACTGAATTGCAATGAACAATTCCCTAGGTTGACTTTGAGACCTGTCAAGGTGCAACAACAATAGAGATTCCTATTAAAATTTTACCTTGGTACATCACAACTAGATAATTTGCAGGTCCTGGAAAGAGAATGTTTACAGTTCGAAGGGAAAAGGTAAACAACTGAAAGTATAAATACAGGGAGGAATACAGGGAGGTAGAAGACACTTATACACTCAACACATCATAAACACAAGAAGGTTTTACATCACACAATGCTACACCACATACACCAGATGCCAACAACAATAGTTTAAGAGCAAAAATGGCAACAGACAAGAACAACACAGATTTTCCTTCATTGGACCCATACTGGTCTGGCCGGGTGAGCATTTAGAATTATTTTGTGTGTTTTTTAATAGGCTGAGAGGCTAAGAAAATACTTTCTTGACTATATATTTATTTTTAAGAATTTTGGTGATTGATTGATTTTCCGCCCATCCGGCAGCCAAGACATTCTTGCATTTTGCTTTTCAATATGCCTTTTCAGGTCACAAGCTCCTGTATTTTTAGAATTTAATTGAAACTTACTTTCTTTCTTTCTTTTTACTTTTAAAATATATTTCTACTGTATTTTAGACTGAATTCTGACTTCAGTATTTGCCCACAACGTAACTTTAGTTTTTATTTGTTTTTAAGCATTTGTGCTTATAGTTTCTACACAGCTGCAATACTGTTGTATTTTCACAACTTTGAAGTATTGTCGTGTTGATGGAACATAAAAGCAATATAGATAAATAAAGCTTGTAGAATTAGGCAAGCTGATGTTGCCTGGAATTATTGCAATAATGAAAAGACTTATAACGTGATACCCAGATGAATTTCGATATGAATGGAAACAATTACTGTAGTTTCATTCTAGAATTAACCCTTAACTGGGACAAATGCCAATTGCAACAAATACAGGCTTTTCCTTAGAGGTCACTTGACCTGACATTTTTGGTGAGCCAGCCAGAGGGATCAGATAATCAATCAGGAGAATTAGACAATCAGGAGAACCAAAAGATTTATGTACCCAGTTTCTGAGCATGACACTGGTTCTCAATGAAGACCACATTCCTACCAATGAGGAAGCACAAAGGGCAAGACCAGCTCATACACTAAACTGTGCAAGCAGCAGGGCTTCTGTTCAAGGCAGAGCTAGTTGCTCTGCTTCATTTTTATTTTAGCCTTCCTTTTTTCCAACTGCGAGGAGAAAACCCCCTGTAGCTTCCTAAGATAATCACCAAGAAGGGAGTGAGTGAGAGACTTTAAAAGAGCAACTGGCATGCTCCTCTTTCAGTCCTTAAAATGGCAATGAAGGGACCCTCCTTTCTTCTCCATTTCTGTCTACAGTGATGCCTTGCAAGACGGGTGCCCCGTTTAACGACGAAACCGCATTACGACAAACTTTTTGCCATCACAAAAGTGATCGCTTTACAATGGTTTCAATGGAGTGATTTCGCTTTGCGATGATCGCTCCCCTGCTTCGAGAACCCATTCCCGCAAAATGACAATTTTAAAACAGCTGATCGGTGGTTTCAAAATGGCTGCCGGGTAAAAGAAATGGCTCCCTGCTATTTTCTTTTCTTTTTTTTTTTAAATTTTATTTTTTTATTTAGGAACAGGGATAAAGGGTACAACATTATGACGTTTTCGTTCTACAGCGATTTCTCTAGAACAAATTAACGTCGTAATGCGAGGCACCACTGTATTTCCTACCTACACACACTCACACACTTCCTCGGCCCTCAATCAGAAGTTAGAGGTGCTGCATCTACAAGATTTTGGTGATTTGATCAGTAGCTTTGCATCAGGAAAGGCAAAGAATGTTATTTCTAAAGTATTGAGCACAGCCTCCATCTTCCTGAGGTTTCCTTTTCCCACTTCCAATCACAAGGTATGAATGCCAAATTTAACACAAGGGCTTTAATGCAGGCACTGCTCGGACAGGTTAATGGCATTGGCTCTGCTCTATATGTGGGCCTGGAAACAGACAAAATACTTCTTATTCACTTCATTTTTACAGTTTTCCAAAGATATTGCACATGCCTAAACCAATTAGCTGGAAGGCCACATGTTCACGCCGCTGAAATAGTAAATTTGGGATAAACATTTCCACAAAAATCTAGCTTACACTTACAGTGATTTCGCTAACTGCTTTGACAGCCTTTTCTTTTCTCTGAATGAATTCATCATCCTAAAAAGGAATTTTAAAAAAAGTATAAGCAATAACAACAGCTATGCTCAAGAAAGAGGCATGTTCAGTCATGCTAATGAAAGATCATTCATTTGATGTGTTCCACATCCATAGCTATGTTGCACAAGTATTCAAATAATATGGACATGTTTGGCATAATCACATTATGTCTGGCATAATCACATTAAGACTGCAATTCTGCACAGACACTAATCTACAGGGAGAGAATCACTGAACTCAAATATACTTCAAAACAGACACATAGGGTTGCATTGCAAATCTATGCTTTCTGCCAGATGGCTCACAGTCAAACGTGTTAAGGTTATTTTGTCTAGTAGGTAAAAAGAATGTAGACTATAGTAATCAATTCCAATTTATTGGCTGAAAGCCTGTTCCTGGTTGTAGTAAGTTGTGGGTAGAGTAGAACAGAATTAGTAGGGACTTGGTGAGTCAATTCCTCCACATGTTCCACTGATTCAATAGGCCGACTCTAGTTGTGACTTACTACGCTGAGCGGCAGAATTTCAGCCATCAACAAACAAGACTAAGACTCAGCCACTGATAGCTGCAAAAATAGTTACAGTCACGAACAGAAATAAAAAGATTCAACTTGCTTATCTCAAAGCACTTTGAAAAATTGTTAATGACTCTTGGATTGGATTTTAAATCTGAACCATTCTATCTCAGCAATTAGATGTGATGTTACATTATGGATTACTAAGAGCTGATCGCATTGTAATAACAGAGAAACATTATAGCTACAACTCCATCTAGCTAAGACAAGGGGGATAAGAATGGGATGCATTTCAGTATTTGTACACTATATATTGGTGTGATGCCATTGCCCAACTATGGAAAGGACAACAGATCCAAAAGTCTCTTGAGAAAGCAGTCTTAAAAGTAAATATGTTACTGTCTCATTAGTTAATAATAGTAATAATAGTAATAATAGTAATAGTAATAACAATAACAATAACAATAACAACAACAACAACAACAATGATGATGATGATGATGATGATGATAATGATAATGATAATGATAATAAAGTGTTTCCTTAAAGTGCCTCTGGAAACAACTTCCCAGATCATCTTATGAATAGAGTGGAAAACACAGGAAAATCCATCAACCTTCCAGATATATATGACTGGACATTTAATACTTAAAAAGCTGGATTGAATTACTCCATTACAGTTTTCTGCTTCAATACCAGCTTATGAGTTCCAATACCAGCTCATAAAGTTTGATTCATAAGCTGCTGTCTTTGAACCTATGAGCCAAATCTGCTGATGCAGAGCTGCGTCAATCCCATCCAATTTCAAAAAAGGTTAAGAGAATCAGTCTTTTCTCTCATTCTGAATTACAGAAGACACTGCCAAATATTTACCTCTGGTAGACTGTGAGTCTTTTGAAACTGAGATATGGAATATGAGCGAATGTAGTCTCCCATTTCTTCACGGGTTTCTATAGCACGTTTCACTAGCCACTGAGAGAAAAACAAAACAAGAAAGAGGTGGATAGGTGGCATCAAAGCATCAATACACACACACACACACACACAAATGTCATTGATAACTGATTCACTGCCGAAAAGAACTTTGATTATTTAGAAAAGATGAATTAGAATTAGTTAAATGAAAGAATATGAGTGTCCATATTAAACAGAAAATCTAGACAATACAGTGGTGCCTCGCTTTAAGATTGCCCCGCATTACAACAAATCCGCTTGACAATCTTTTTGCAATCGCAATTGCAATCGCAAAACAATGGTCTGAATGGGGGAATTTTCCTTTGCGATGATCGGTTCCCTGCTTCAGGAACAGATTCTTCGCAAAATGACATTTTTTGAACAGCTGATGGGCGGTTTCAAAATGGCCGCCAGGTGATTAAAATGCTCCCTGCTGTGTTTAGGGACGGATTCCTCGCTACACAGGCAGCGAAAACGGCCGCTGTATGGAGGATCTTCGCTGGACAGTGAGTTTTTACTCCATTGGAATTCACTGAACGAATTTCAATGTGCTTCAATGGGGTTTTTATTTTCGCTTTACGATGTTTTCACTTAACAGCGATTTTCCTGGAATGGATTATCATCGTTAAGCGAGGCATCACTGTACATAATATTCTGCACAGACATTCAGGATTAAAAGCTATACTGAACTATACAGTAACTCCAAATGCTTCCAACATGTGATGTATCCTGATACTGGAGTGATTGGGGTGGGAAATGTGTGGCTCTTTACATGTTGGTAGACCAAAACTCCCATCCATTTTAGCCAATACAGTCCATAGTGAAGGAAGATGAGAGCTGCAGTCATATTTCGATCCAGAGGTTATTCACTAGTACTCAATGCAACTCAAACAGCTGTAGCGAACTTGTGAACCTTCAGATCTTGCTGAATTGCAGCTCCTGGGCATTCCAGCTACCATACAGTCAGTGGCATGGGAGATAAAAGCTGTGGTCTAATAGCAGCTAGAAAGTCATATACTCTCCATTCCTGGCCCAAAGTGCATGTACTGTGTAGCAAGGCTACAAAGGAGTGAACTCCAAAGCTGTTCTGACCTTCCTACTCTTTCGTTTCAAATGTGACATGCAGTGTCTGTTGGCGAAAGAAAATGGGGAGAGGGAGAAGGAAAAATTCAAAATATTGTAGCGCTTTGAATGCTAATCGTTTTATTTCAGTGCAGACTTTCGTGGATCAAAGCCCACCTCATCAGACACGGAGCGCAAATACACGACCTGTATACTTACATATATCCACACAACCAGGTGAGGATACAGATAAAAGGGACAGGGACAATGCAGTGTATGCAACAGTAAAGGATTATAGATTTGGATTACAGCTTTGATTTGGATTTCTGCATTTAGGGGAGAGTTGGACTCTGTGGCTTTATAGGCCCCTTCCAACTCCCTTATTCTATGATAAGGAAATACACGACCTGTATACTTACATATATCCACACAACCAGGTGAGGATACAGATAAAAGGGACAGGGACAATGCAGTGTATGCAACAGTAAAGGATTATAGATTTGGATTACAGCTTTGATTTGGATTTCTGCATTTAGGGGAGAGTTGGACTCTGTGGCTTTATAGGTCCCTTCCAACTCCCTTATTCTATGTTAAGGGGCAATCCAAAATAAGCAGAAGGCCAAATGTTCAGTGGAAGCATGTGTTTGCCACCAGAAAACTGTCCTCTCTTATTTTTATTCTTGCACCAATGCTGTTTCCCTGATCAAAATCATTCCTCAGAGGCAAAATGGGCACATTTCTATCAGCGGGGGATCAATTGTTTCAAATAAAAAAGCACCTACCTGCACAACAGGAAATATGTGGATAAAATCCAACCCTTGTATTTGATGAGGCTCCAGGCGATGAGGGCACTTCATTCTGGGCAAGACTGATACAATTTTCTCAGTTAAAGCACTGGAAACAAGTCAAGCGTGAGATAGATATTTTAGGGGAGGGAAAAAAATGTGTGAAAACAAAGTATTTGCCAGCCTGAAAGTGCCCTCTAGTGGCCAAAATCAAATAGTAGAGTTTTTTTTATAAGCAATTTTCAAAGCATTAACCATGTTAAGTTTCTTGTGGTATTTTTAGCAAAAATAATGAAATTTGTGGCACCTTTAAAAATAGCAGATTTACTATAGTGTGAGGGTTAACAAATTACAGTCCAAATCTTCAAACATATAGGCCCAAACCTGCACTTCCTTTTTAGAACCAGACACAAAGGACAGTGAACATTGGGTTTTGAATAGAGATGGGCACGAAGCACTTCATATGAAACATGCCACATCACCACAGGTCCCATGCGGACCCATCTCCCATCTCTTAAGCAGGCTGGCCTACTCACTGTTCTTTGCGCACTGCTGGGGGCGCCTTCTCTAGCGGCGCACCAGTCCAGGCAGGGGCTCAGGCTGCCTTTCCCTGCCTCCTCGGGCAGCCGACCACTCATCAGCTGAGTGGGGAGAAGCCCCGTCTCATCTCCTCCTTGGACCCGGCACATCACCAGAGAAGGAGGTCCCTGGCAGCGCACGAAGAATGGTGAGTGGGCCAGCCAGTCGGGGGTGGATGGGTGGGTGGAAGATGGTGCCACGCAGTGCGCTTCATACCCCTCTCTAGTTTTAAACAGAAATTGGCATTTTTTTTACACTACAACTCCCAGAATACTGCAGTAAACTAGGTTATTCCCATCCCTGGCTATGAAACACATTCAGGAAAAGAAGTGGGGGGACATACAGAAGATTTAAGATGTGACCTAGATTTAAAGACAACATTCTTAAGTTAGGAAGGCTTCTTTAAAAAACCAGGTGACCCTCTTTTAAGCATGGCTCACTGTAATACAAGCTAGATTTAAAGACAACATTCTTAAGTTAGGAAGGCTTCTTTAAAAAAAAGTCCATACCCCTGATACCCCATCATATTCTGCCCTTGCAAATATCACAAGAGAAAGTCGGGCACTGGATACAGCCCGACACACACACACACACACACAAACATACACGGAGGATGGGCTCTGCGGCAGGGGCAGAGGGAGAGTCCATACCCCTGATACCCCATCAGATTCTGCCCTTGCAAATATCACAAGGGAAAGTCGGGTACTGGATACAGCCCATGACATGTACTGACCACAACAGGTAACACAAGAAACTAGATTTCAGACATGTTTTAAATTAACTTACATTTTCTGACCAATGGTTGAGTTTTCCTGAAACAGTAAGTCAACATCAATGTCAAAACTGCATGTTGTGATACACCAAGTCATGCCACCGACTACCTAGAAAAAGACAAGCATCCTCATTTTATCACTGACAAAGACTTGTTAGAAAAATGTTACAAAGTTGACAGCAAAAATATTTTTAAGCGTTCTTTCCAAAATGACATACATCTTCAGCCCAAAATGACATACATCTTCATTTTCACCAGGGATATGATCAATGTGCCCACAACGGGATGTGTAACTAAAATCCTTTCCAAGACCCATGCTTCTTAGTTTATGAGCAGACCTCAGGAAAGTTCCTTTTTTAAAGTTACAATTCCCAGCATTGTCCAGAGAGCTCAGTCATTGGCCATGCTGGCCAAGAGATTCTGGTAGCTGTAATCCAAAAAAAAAGAAAGAAAAAAGGATCCTTTCCAAAGTCTGTCATTGGTTCGCTATTTTACAGCATAAATGGCAATTCAGCATCCTTCAGATGGTTTGTACTACAAGCTGCATGTAGGCCAGTCACAGGGCTATCATCAAGCACTATGGGCAGAAGTGCCTGGGAGAGGCAAGGCTATCTTCCTTCATTATAACACTTCAGGAAAGGTTTTAAAAGGACAATAGACCCACTCTTATGTCTAACTGTCAGCCCCAAGCAGTGTAGATCTAGTGAATCAATGAAACTCATTGAAGTGCTAATTTACCAACTTCCCATTGATTCTGCTCTGGTTGGGGCTACCAATGGGACTTAGATTGTCAATCAGAGATCAGGTGACTAAAATTTTCAGTTAAAAATATTCCTCACTGATGAAATCAACTACATTGGTAGTTGACATATTTATTAATGAAATTACTCAGATCTGTGAACAATACCATGTTAACTGTACCTGACTGTAGCCTTACCTTGTCAAAAGGGGACAGCCCTTTAATCCTTGCTCTGAAGTATCCAGCAGCCACCAGCAACTCTAAAATTTCACTTAGTTTAATATTTTGCTCTTCATCCTCCCTGGTTTCAACCTAGAAAAAGGGTAATAAGATTAACAGATTTTATTAAAAAACTCAACAAACTAGAGATCATCTAAATGTTAGAAGTTTAAAACTGTAATAGACAGTTCTACTGCATCAGCAAGACAAAACATTTTTATTTTGGCTGCATGCATACCATAAGGCCTATGCACCATGAAGTGGACTTAAAACAACATTCAGCAAGCCCATCTATTAAAAGCATTCAACTATCAGAAACAGCATTTTCTTCCATTCCTACCGCTGGTAATGTCTTGCAGCACAACAAATTGAAGAAATTAGTTTTCCACAACAAAAGGAGCGGAGATTTCAACTCAGTCATCAGTTAAAAACAACAACAAAAACTAGAATCAACTTCCAGATTCATTTGTTGTGAGAGAAATAAATACTTCAGAAGTTTTACTGTTTAATGAAGCTCTTGGATTTTTTTTTTCTTCAAATCACTACCGTGAGGTACCTTTTAAGATACCTCACAGTACCACAGATCTACAGAAACAAGTTGGTGATGCTTTCAACATTTCTCATGTTTTAATACCTTCACTATTTTGTATGAGACATGAATTCTGGAGCCATGACTTTAGCACAGCTCTGGCATGGAAATATTCACGATACAATTCTACTTAGACTTAACACACCGCTTTGTTTAATAAGAAAGTCACCATTTTTGAGGCAACGAAAGATGCTGGCTTCAGTCCACAAAAGCTTATGCCAAGCAAAACCTGTTAGTCTTTAAAAAGAAATAAGGCTCTGTGTCAGTTTTGCTGCAACAAACTACAGATTAACTTGGCCACCCCTGACATTTTCCTGGGTTGTTTTTTTCACTTTTGCTTTATTTTTTAAGATCAAGGCATTCCAGGTTGGATTTGATTTAAATAAAAAGATTGTATTTTTTGACAATTTAAACAAGAACAAAACATTATTTAAATAATGATTGACATCAATTTGATTTTAAAAAAAAATCATTTATTTTTGTCCCACAAACATCTCGTATCCCTCCATGATTTTTTTTAAAAAAATCCTTTATTTTTGTCCCACAAGCATCTCGTATCCCTCCGCCCTGTTTTGCCTTTTGACTGATTAGGAGCACCTATGTCTTGCCTGGATTAAGCTTTGCTCTCATCCAGTCCATTACTGACTTCAGACACCAGGTTAGGACCAAACAGCTTCCCCAGATTTTGATGGGAAAGAAAAGTAGAGTTGGGTGTCAGCCTCATACCTGTGGCACCAAGCCCACGCCTTTGGACAACCTCTTTCAGCATTTAATATATACTGTATAAAATCGTATGTAGCACATTCCAGAATCTTGAGTGGCCACATTGTTGGAAAGGAGACTCCACACACCACCTTCTGAACCTGCCTCTCGAGAAAGGGCCAGAGTCACTGCCGAACAGAGCTTCCAAGTCCATCCCAGAGTGATGGCTCAAAAGGACAGGACAGCTGACAGGAACAAAAGCTACTGAGAGGTCCACCAGAACCAACAGACACACACGCTCCCTGCATAATTGCCAGTGTTATTCCAATCACCTCATGGCATACTCTAGTGAGTCCGACTGAACATGGGCTAGAGCTCATTTGAAGAGCTCATTCTGTGACAGTAGCGGCAGCAAAGAAAAGGTTCTTTGCTGCTGCCATTGCATCTGCACAAAGTCGTCCAGCAGAGTTGTTTCCAGTGGTCAGGGGCTTAATACATGCCCTACCGAAAGAACAAAATACGGACCACTCCACAACCCGCTGTAAGGAATTTGCACAACACTTTGCAGATAAAGTTGCTTGGATTCGCTCTGATTTGGATGCTGTAATTGAGATTGTCCTGTTTTAATGGATACTTTTCAGTTTGTGCAGCCTGATGATGTGGACAGGATTCTTGGAGAGGTGAATGCCACCACATGTGTGCCAGACCCTTGCCCTTCCTGGCTCATAAAAGCAGCCAGAGGAGGAATGGCTGATTGGGTACGGGAAGTGGTAAATGCCTCCTTGCAGCAGGGTAGGATCCCTGCTTCCTTAAAGGAGGGAGTAATAAGACAACTACTGAAGAAGCACTCCCTGGATCCCAGTGTATTGCATAATTACCGACCAGTCTCAAACATCCCATTCCTGGGCAAGGTAATGGAGCATGTGGTGGTTTTTCAGCTCTGGGGATTCCTGGACAAAGCGGATTATCTAGACTCATTTCAATCTGGTATCAGGCCTGGCTATGGGACAGAGATGGCTTTGGTCACATTGGTGGATGATCTACACCAAGAACTGGATGGGGGGAATGTGTCCCTGTTGGTTCTGCTGGACCTCTCAGCGGCTTTCGATACCATCGACCATGGTATCCTTCTCAGCCGTCTCTCTGGGATGGGACTTGGAGGCACTGTTTTACAGTGACTCCAGTCCTTCCTGGAGGGGAGAACTCAGAAAGTGGTGCTGGGTGACTCCTGCTCAACGCCCTGGCCATTGGCCTGTGGCATTCCTCAGGTTCTGCTTTGTCACCCATGCTTTTTAACATCTACATGAAACTGCTGGGAGAGGTTGCCTGGAGTTTTGGGGTTCGGCGTCACCAGTATGTGGATGACACCCAACTCTTATCTCTCCTTTCCACCTAATTCCAGGGAAGCTGTCTTGACTCTAAACCAGTGCCTGGCATCAGTGATGGGCTGGATGAGGGCAAACAAGCTGAAACTTAATCCAGACAAGACAGAGGTGCTCCTGGTTAGTCAGAAGGCAGATGAGGGAATAGGGATACTACCTGTGCTGGATGGGGTTACCCCCCCTCAAAAAAAACACTCAGGTCTGCAGCTTGGGTTTACTCCTGGATTCATCCCTAAGCTTGGATGCCCAGTTCTCAGCGGTGGCTAAGAACTGGGCATCCAGTTCTCAGGAGTGCATTTGCACAGCTAAAGCTGGTGTGCCAGCTGTGCCCATTCCTTGAGATGCTGGATTTGGCGACAGTGGCACATGCCTTAGTTACATCCTGTTTGAATTGCTGTAACACACTCTGTGTGGGACTGCCTTTGAAGATGGTTTAGAAACTTCAGCTGGTGCAAAACTCTGCATCCAGACTACCGGCTGGGGCCAACTACAGGGAGCATATAATACACCTGTTACAAGAACGGCGCTGGCTACAAGTCCGTTTCCACACCCAAATCAAAGTGCTGGTCATTACCTATAAAGCACTAAACAGCTATCTCCCTATATGTGCCTTCTCGGCGATTAAGATCAGCAGAATAGACCCTCCTCTCAGTTCCATTGCCAGTACAAGCACAGCTGATGGGGACACGGGAGAGGGCCTTCTCTGTGGCAGCTCCCAGGCTATGGAATGCTCTCCCTCGGGAGATCAGGATGGCCTACTCCCTGTTATCCTTCGGGAAAAAGCTAAAGAGCCATCTCTTCAGGCAGGCTTTTAACAATTATAACTGGATCCCTGAACCCCATTTTAGCAGATAATTTTAATCTTTTTCATGTTTTCATGTTTTAATCTTTTAATTTTGTTTTAAATCATATATTATTTAATTTGTCTTTTAATATTTAACTTATTGTGTTTTCAACTGTGTGAATTTTAATGTTTTGAGCTGCTTGTTGGGTCCCTTGTTGGGAGAAGTGCAGCATAAAAATCATCATCACCATCATCATGATCATCTTTAAACGCTACAATTCAATGATGCTATGGTAATCTTAATATAGTCGTGGGGCTTTCAGGGTCTTCAAAAGCAGGCTGTATTTGACCAAATTGCTGGAAAGAGAATCTTTGTGCTGCTCCACCCAACAAAAATAATTTCAAATATTCAGATATTCCATCCTTCATTCAATGAAGAAATTTTGAAGCTTGTTATTCACTAAAAGCTTGTTGTGAGTCATTTGGTAGGAAAAAGATCCTCCTAAAGAAGAAGAAGAAGAAGAAGAAGAAGAAGAAGAAGAAGAAGAAGAAGAAGAAGAAGAAGAAGAAGAAGAAGAAGAAGAAGAAGAAGAAGAAGAAGAAGAAGAAGAAGAAGCCTGTAAAGTAATATTTGTTCACTCATTCCTGTTTTCAAGGCCATTTCATACACTGTATACTTTTGAAGTGCTGCTATGTAGTCTGTAATGTGTTAGAAGGGAACATGCTCTTTAACACTGAGTATAGTCTTCATACATGCCGGGAATGTTGCATATATCTTTGACAGCTTTAATGAAAAAGATAATTCTCTTCTTGCATGTTAATATAAACATTCAAAATAAGGACAGCCTATGAGGTAATGGCAGTACTCTGTGTTCTGTACTGGATAGGGTGGCAGACTAGAACTCAGGTGACCTGGGTTCGATTTGCCACTCAGCCATGGAAAGTCACTGGGGTATGAAACAGGTAAAAACCGCTCCTTAAATACATCACTTACTTGGAAAGCCCTATTAGGGTTGCCAGGTTGGCTCCATCTTGAAGGCACAATAACAACATGAATTAATGATGTCATAAGCTAGCCTTAGCTATACCTCTCATTACATGATGCACATTCAGTGGTCCAGCAACTGCAAGCATTCCCTCTCCCATTTTATCCCCACAATAGCTCTCTTAACCTTAAATGCTATGAAAGAAGACTTCCGCTTTCCCTCATATGACTTATGATTAAAGAATAATCAGAAATGCTATTCATATTTCTTAAGTAGGCTATCAAAGATCTGTAAGGATTAGCTAAAACTCACAATTTTTAAAGGAATTAGATTACATGGTACTGTAATACTATTTGTACTTCATATTTTATGCCACTCCTATCATAGATCCAAAGACAGAGGAAAAATAATGATTTTCCTTAGCTGGTCAATAATTTTCAAGAAAAGTCACCTTAAATACATAGCAACAAACAGTTATTCAAGTGGACGAACATGCACACCAAAACACAGAATGGGGAAAAGTTCATAATCTTCCACAACCAATATTAGCATCCCATTTACACACACACTGACCCACATATGTGCAAACAGGCAGGTGTTCAAACCTACAGCCATGCGTTTCTTGACAACACTCATCACAGATTACACCATAAGAATATACTGTATTTGGAAAACAGCAAACACCAAGATGAAGAAGATGCATGTTTCTAAACACACTGCTCCATCATAGGAACAGACCACTACAGAAAGCATCTCTCTCTGTCACGCCCCTATACTGTGCCAGATTCTACATACAGTGGGGTCTTGACTTGAGAACTTAATCCGTATTGGAAGGCGGTTCTCAAGTCAAAACGTTCTCAGGTCAAATCTGCATTTCCCACAGGAATGCATTGAAAATCATTTGATCCGTATCTGCTCTTTTTACAAGTGATTTGATCTGGTCTCCTAGTCTAGGTAAGGCTTCCTACCTCTAATATTCCTAGATGTCCTACAATGTAGAACAAGAATGAGGAACCACCCTTCAACCCTCCAAATGTTTTGCGTTTCAGTTCCCCCTCCAGCAAGATCTGTGCTAAGGGAACATGAGAGCTGTACTTCGAAATATCAAAATGGTTAAATATGTCCCACTTGTGACATCATAATTTGAAACTTCAGAACCCCCAATAGCTGTTTTGTATAAAATTGGCCACAGAAAGAGCATGCTTACCCAGGAGGGCAAAAACAGGTGAATATGTGACCAGCAAAGGTTCTGCATTTCAGCTCCTCCACAAAGTACTCAGCAATGCCAAGCACAGGGCAAAAAGTCCATGAAAACAGCTTTTGGAAGAGAAGTACTGTAGTTATTTGATAAAATGTAAGGCCAAACAACCTTGTGTGTATTTACACGCCCACACTCACTTTCAAGGCCCCACACCATTCTAGAGGCACAGTTTATTCTAACCCAGGATTCATCTCAGCAGAACAGAAAAGCACTGGCTCTTCACATTTTCCAACCAAATCCAATACCAAACAGTAGAAGAAGAAACTTCACCCAGCACTATAAGCAGCTGCAGATCTCAGAAATCACACCATCAGAGCTACAAAAAAGGCAATATTAGGAACAGCATACATACTGCGCTGGTATTTAACATATACTTAGTTTTTTTTTTTGTTAAAACTTGTATTTGTTATATAATACCGTCAATGTTTATATAGTTTTGATTGACTGTGCCTGGTAACTGACTGTGCCTGGTGTTTTTGAATGATGAAGAAGAAACAACCAAGCATGTGCAGAGTGTCTTTAGCTCAGCCACGCCAGTCAGTTCTCCATACACACAATCACAATCCGGTTTCCAAGATTTCCAGGAAGCCTCGAACACCTTCTGAAACAACCCCCCACCCCCACCCCCGGTGGGTTCCCGGAGAGCTTCCTCCTTCCTCGGGCAATCCTGCCTTGGGGCTGCTCCCCTTTCCTCCAGCCATTGCGGCTGAAAGCGACGCACCCACCAACCCACGGTGCTGCAGGATCCTATCTGAAAACGGCCACATCCAGAAGCGGGGTCTTCACCAGGCAGCGGTTTAGGGGGGAACGGTGGCTCCCCAATTTTATTTTATTTTTTTAAAATAATGAGCATGCAGCCTTCTCTTTCCATCCCTGGGATATATCCTGTCGCAACCCCACCCCCCAACCCTCCAACACAAAAAAGCAATGGAGGGGTGGGTAACCAAAGCACGGGGGGGTGAGCCTGCTTTAAGATAATGGGCGACACTCTTCTTCCCCTTACCTCTTGGGGAGGAGGCTGATGATCCTGCCCCTTCAGGGCACCCATGTCCCTTCCTCAACCTCTCCAGCGGCCCGGCTGGACCAAAGCACTCTGACACCCGCCGCCGCCGCCGCCGCCGCCTCTGCGAAGAAGGCTCGCCCACTTACGAGGCATGCAGAAAAGGGGCGCTCGTCTCCTTCCGCAAAAGTATGGCCTCCCCCATTCCGCCCATTGGTTTCTCCCGTCCGCCCCCCCGCCCCTCTCTACGCAACACAACCCGGCGATTCAGACCATGCCATTGTGCAGAAAATAGGGAAGGGGGAGCTAGTGAGCCTAGACGTGCTCACGTGACTGCTTGGAACGGAAGAGGCGGAAGGGGGAGGCGATCGTCTTTTGGCAGCGGCTGGAGCCGCGGGAAGCCGAGCTAAGGAAGGACGGGGCTGAAAGGAGGCGGGTTGTGTGTGCGTGTGTGTGTGGGGGGGGGAATGCTAGTTTCTCAGTATAGTATTTTTAAGAGACCGTGGCGCTCTCTGGGAATGCTCTTGTTGTCTATGGACAGGTTGCCTTTAGGGTATGGCAACCCATTAAATTAATGGCCCCCCCCCCGGGTTCCTCTATTGAACGATGGGATCTTGCAGGCTAAAGGCTGTGGCTTCCTTTATCGAGTCAATCCATCTCATGAAAGGCCTTCCTCCTCCCCTCCCCCATTATTGCCTATTTTTCTGGTATTATTGGCTTTTCCAGTGTGAGTCTAATCATCTCACGAAGGATCTAAAGTACTATAGCCTTAATTGTAGCAATTAAGAGTTTCACATTCATTTTGCTCTAGGGCCCACTTTTTTGTCTTTCCGACACTCCATGGAGCTGTCTGTAAAGCTGTCTGCTAACCTCACTTTTCAATTGACTCGAATCATTTTCCTGCCTTCTTTTTTCACTCTCTAGCTTTCACGTCCATACATAGTAGTTAGGAATACCATAGTATTCCCAATATTGCCTGCAAATGATGTAAGATGCCTCTTTATTCATTGTTTTAAATATTGTCTCTTAATGATATTAACCACTGCTGTATACTAATTGTTTTGAACGTTAAGTATTGTCTTTCATTCTGTGAAGATTCCTGGTCATCCAGGTGAGGTTATCTGGAAGATGAGCCATGGCAACCAGACTTCCTTCTTGTTAGCTTGAAACATTTCACTACTCATCCAAGTAGCTTCTTCAGTTTGAGGACAGTTGGTAGGAAATCCCTAATATATCCTCCACTGTTGGTTTCACTTCCTCCTCCTCTGAATGGGCTTGTTAGATGGACAAATGACTGGGGATGAGGGATAATCTCACATTTGCAGCCCTTCTGCACCTGTTGTCATGGGTTGTTGACAGTGGTCTTTCTGGTGTCTGGTCCTAATCTTCCTGGGGTGGAGAAGGATTGCAGAAGTGGGATTATCTCTCACCCTCAGTCATTTGTCCATCTAACAAGCCTATTCAGAGGAGGAGGAAGTGAAACCAACAGTGGAGGATATATTAGGGATTTCCTACCAACTCTCCTCAGACTGAAGAAGCTACTTGGATGAGTAGTGAAATGTTTCAAGCTAACAAGAAGGAAGTCCAGTTGCCATGACTCAAGTTCCAGATAACTTTACCTGGATGATGGAGAATCTTCCAGATTGTCTTTCATTGTTGTAAGCTGCCTTGGGTCCTTTTCAAAGGTGGGAAAAATACTTTAAATAAATAGATAAATAAATAGTATGAATAATCTCGGTGTTGGTTTCCATTAACACAAATTTACATTAAAGAATGTTTTCTACTTGCTATGTCTTCTAGTTCCTTGTTCTTTACCCTTCCAAGTCTCAGTCTCTCTGATTTCTTAGCTTCAGCCTCCATTTTGATGATTGAACCAAGAAAATATTTTAAAAATTCTGCCCTAAAATTAGGACAGAATACATAGAAACAGGTTGGTTTCCCATAGGCAAACCAACTTCAGAGTATAGGTTATGTACATCAGGATGATTGGCATAGCCATTTCTTTTACAATGATCTATAGCTTTTAGAGACTGCTCATTCATAGGGTCACCATAAATTGGAAGTGATTTGACGGCACATAAGAACAACAGCTGTCCAACTTTAATGTCGAGAATAAAGGAATTGAAATAGTGAAAGATTTTGTATACCTTGTTTCAGTCATCAATGAGCTGGGCTATTGAAGACAGGATATTTTAGAGATCTCTCATTCATAAGGTGGCCATGAGTCGGAGGAAACTTGATGGCACGTAACAAAAACAATAGCTTTCCAAAATCCAAAGCTTAAGGCTTTACTGAAATCTACAAAGCACAAACTTGTTTTCTTTTGATATTTTTGGTATCTTTTAGTAACCAATGTCCAGAATCCAGTTTGTCCCCATGCAGTGCAAAATTACATAGGCGTGACTTTGCAGGGCATTACACCCAGGCAAAACTGACGGCACAATGATTGCACAACTATTCACACACTTTCCATAGTCTCATATATGAGATGTAGTCTCATATCTGGAAAGCAATTGGGGTTGCAAAAGGTTTATATATTACTGCTGTAAGTTACTGTGGATGGATCAAGATGGGTTAGAGACATACCTACTCTTTCTGTGGCATCTTGTTGACATCAGGGCATATTATTTTTCCATATACCCTGTTTCTCCAAAAATAAGACAGGGTCTTATATTATTTTTTGACTCAAAAAACGCATTAGGGCTTATTTTCAAGGGATGTCTTGTTTGTTCATGTACTACAATCTACATTTATTCAAATACAGTCATGTCATCTTGTTGCTGCACAATGGTGGAGGGCGGGGTTTCACTTAACTGCATCTTATTTTGGGGCAGGGCTTATATTACGAGCATCTTGAAAAATCATGCTAGAGCTTATTTTCAGGTTAGGTCTTATTTTCGGGGAAACAGGGTAGTAAGTATACGGTTTATAGTTAGGTCACTTGTCAGTTTCAGTGCTAAATCAAGGTGCTGGTAATGTCCTATAAAGCCCTTAAGGGTTTAGGACTGTGATACTTGTTGGAACATCTCTCGCAGAAATCAGCGAGTTTCCATTTCACCTATCATGCTAGAGCTTATTTTCAGGTTAGGTCTTATTTTCGGGGAAACAGGGTAGTAAGTATACGGTTTATAGTTAGGTCACTTGTCAGTTTCAGTGCTAAATCAAGGTGCTGGTAATGTCCTATAAAGCCCTTAAGGGTTTAGGACTGTGATACTTGTTGGAACATCTCTCACAGAAATCAGCGAGTTTCCATTTCACCGCCTCCTCTCAAGGGGTGTTGCCAAAAGGGACACACAAAGGCAGGCCAAAAAGGCAAGACTGAAGAATTGGGCCTTTAAAGTAGTGGCCATTCTTTGGAGCAAAGTACCCACTGAGATCCACCAGCCTCCTCCTGATGTTCACAAAATTACTGAAAACAGAATTATATCAAGCCGCCTTCAATAATGTATCTCCCGGATGCTGTTATTTTTTTTCCTTTTTGGCTTTTCTCTTGCATGGATTTTAGACCATGTCTGTGAATCGTCATATTGAATGTATTGTCATATGCAGTTTTGTAGGGCTTTAGTTTTAATCTGTAAACTGTCCAGGGTAATCCTAGCATGAAAGAGGCAGTACAGTAGGACCCCTGTATCTGCAGCATTGGAATCAGCAGTTTCACTTATCCGCAGTTTGCTGCAGCCCTATACACAAAATACAAGGGCCTTTATTCCTTTGTGCGTTGCTTATGGAGTTTCCTTGTATCTGCAGTTTCAGAAACCCACAATAGGTTGTACAATCGATATGGGGGCCATACTGTGTATAAATCAAATAAATAAATACATTTTTTTGCCCCAATGAACTACAGTGGGACCCCCGTATCCACAATGGAAGCCCCCCTGCACATGTTGAAAAATGCAGATTGTGGCAAACTTCTCCCTTCCTAAACCAGACACCCTCCCTGCATTTGCCACCTATGCAGAAGGTATAGGGACAAAGCCATCCCTGTCCTTCCTCTGATCCATGCAAACCTGATAGTTACCCAAAGGGAGAGCAGAGTGCAGAGACTACTTCCACCACCACTGCCTGGGGATGGTTGCTCACCTGCATGTTGAGCTGTTTGCTAGTGTATTCTACGTGCAGAGCCAGTTGGCTGGAGACGCCCCCATCCCATTTCCCACCTAGATCACCCAATACCAACACTTTTTTAAAAATGTCCAGGTAAACCTGCAGGTAGAAGGAGCCTCCACTGTCACCTCTGGGGAGAAAGCTTGCAAGAGGAGAAGCCTTAAGTAGCAAGAGACTGTGCTATGTACAGGTATTCTTCATAAAATGGTCTCTCTGGCTCCCTCTATTTATTTATTTATTTGTTTATGTATTTATTTGTTTATGTGTTGTATTTATACCTCGCCTATCTAGTAGAGTCTATCTATATTAGACCTATATGCCGCCCCATAGCGCTACAAGCACTCTCCGGGTGGTTTACAATTTTTAATTATACAGGCTACACATTGCCCCCACCCCAGCAAGCTGGGTACTCATTTTACCGACCTCGGAAGGATGGAAGGCTGAGTCAACCTTGAGCCGGCTACCTGGGATTTGAACCCCAGATCGTGAGCACAGTTTTAGCTTGCAGCCCAGCATTTTAACCAATGCGCCATGAGGCTCTAGTGGCCAGTTCTGCTAAAACGTGGATTTTTTTCCTGCATTTTTTTCTTGTAATACTTTCAATATTAAATATTAAGCAAATTTCAATATTTGCAAACCTTGGATAAGTGAAACAGTGGATATTTATCCTGCAGATAAGGGATTGTATGTGCCTAGAGGCAGTGTAGGCTTTTGCAGAAGGTATTTCACAATACAGGTCAGCTATTTAAAGAAAAGACAAACAGGAGTGTCATTCTCTACTCCTACCAAGCACCATTTGGGAAACTTATGGGGCAGGCCTTTTCTGGTTTCTAAATAGCACTGACAGGGGTGTAGTGGAAAAAACAGCTCAAGCATGGCACTGGCCCTGAATAAACAACAAACACCCATTGCTACTGTGGCTGCTATGCTTTGGCTAATGATGCAAAACCGTCAGCTCCAGCTGAATATATGTAGTCA